CCCAAAGGTCCCAGTGTCCCCCTCAGGACCCCAAAGGTCCCAGTGTTCCCATAGGACCCCAAAGGTCCCAGTGTCCCCCTCAGGATCCCGAAGGTCCCAGTGTCCCCTTGAGGATCCCAAAGGTCACAGTGTTCCCATAGGAACCCAAAGGCCACACTGTCCCCTTCAGAATCCCAAAGGTCCCAGTGTCCCCCTCAGGATCCCAAAGGTCCCAGTGTCCCCCTCAGGATCCCAAAGGTCACAGTGTCCCCCTCAGGATCCCAAAGGTCCCAGTGTCTCCCTGAGGACCCCAAAGGTCCCAGTGTCCCCTTGAGGATCCCAAAGGTCCCAGTGTCCCCCTCAGGATCCCAAAGGTCCCAGTGTCCCCCTGAGGACCCCAAAGGTCCCAGTGTCCCCCTGAGGATCCCAAAGGTCCCAGTGTCCCCCTGAGGATCCCAAAGGTCCCAGTGTCCCCCTCAGGATCCCAAAGGTCCCAGTGTCCCCATAGGACCCCAAAGGTCCCAGTGTCCCCCTCAGGATCCCAAAGGTCCCAGTGTCCCCATAGGACCCCAAAGGTCCCAGTGTCCCCCTCAGGCTGGGATTTCCATCACAAAGAGGTCTGAAGTGTTTGTGAAGTTGACAATCCCATAAAGGAATTTCCTGTGCCCAAAGTTACAGCATTTCCCTTTCCAGTGTTTCTTTGGATCCTTTGCTCCCAGAAGCGTTGTCGTCGTTGGAATAATTCCCCGAGTCTCGACTGCTCTGCTTGCAGTGTTTGTAGTCTGTAAAAACAATCTGATTTCCCTCCTCTGTGACCATGGATTCAATCACACAGCAATTTTCCACTGATTCCTCTGCTGCAGCTGACAGGTAAGGGCTGCTGAAGGGCCGTGCTCCAAATCCCTGAGGACAGAAGGGGAAGAGAGGAACATCCATAAATAATAATTATATACTGATTTAAATCATTAAATACTAATTCTGCTAAACATCACAGTCACACAAATGTGATTTATATTTACTGTGAAGGTGGGCAGGCCCTGGCACAGGGTGCCCAGAGCAGCTGGGGCTGCCCCTGGATCCCTGGCAGTGCCCAAGGCCAGGCTGGACACTGGGGCTGGAGCAGCCTGGGACAAGGGAAGGCGTCCCTGCCATGGCAGGGTGGCACTGGGTGGGCTCTGAGGTCCCTTCAGCCCAAACCAGTCTGGGGTTCCATGCTCAAGTTGAGCAGCATTGAGTGGTTTCCCACCCCTAACACAACACTTGTTTCCCTAGGGTGACCAACTCAGATTTAGGATGAAGTTTAGTTCACAGAATCCCAAAATCCCCGGGGCTGGCACAGCCCTCCCAGCCCAGGCAGTGCCAGCTGTGCCCCATGGCCACCTTGTCCCCAGCCCAGAGCACTCAGTGCCACCCCCAGGGGACACCTGCAGGGATGGGCACTGCAAAGCTCCCTGGGCAGCCCCTGCCAAGGCCTGAGCACCCTTTCCATGGGCAAATTCCTGCTGCTGGCCCAGCTGAGCCTGCCCTGGCCCAGCCTGAGGCCGTTCCCTCTGCTCCTGTCCCTGTTCCCTGGAGCAGATGCCAGCTCCCATCTCCCAGCTGCATTCACAGATTCCAACACTAAAGGGTGACTCCAACATTTTATCTCAGCCCTTTTCCTGTTCTCAGCTGTCAATCACCACAGAACTGCAGCATTTCATGCATTGGAGCCTGAGGAGGCCACACAAGAATTAAAAGAGGTACAGAGGTTTCAAGACACACTTGAGTGTTGCCCTTCTCATTCCAGAACAGGATCCCAGCTAAGCAGCACCTGTGCCAAGCTGGAGACTGGACAAAGCTCTGGAGACCACTGATAAAACCTCTGAAATGAACCCTGACTGACCCATAAGAGATAAACATATTTTTTTCCATGATATTTAAAGTTCATTGTCCTACAAGGAAGCTGTGTGATGACTGAGAAGCCAGAGCTCACCTCGATGTTCAGGGGGGGCTGGCAGGAGGGGAAGAACACGTATTTGATCTTGTTGTAGGCTTGGTAGAGCACAAAAACAAGAGGAGTGGCCACCAGCAGGACAAGCAGCAGGGCACCCATGAAAATCCCAAAAATGATCAGAGGTAAAGGTGTACCTAAAACAGGGAATAAAAACCATTCAGTCGAGGTGTTCAGAACCAGCAGAAATTAAAGCACAGCTCCAAATGTGCTGCAGAATTTATCAAAAAATTCAACATTTCCACATCATGGAAACACTCCACAACATTTCCACAGCCATGGGCACCAGGGAAAAGTGATGCTGTGCCAGTGTCTGAGATAATTTTGCTTAAAGAAGCCACAGTGTATCTCCCAATACAAGAACACAGAATCACCAAGGTGGGAAGAGACCTCCAAGATGCTCCAGTCCCTCCATCACCCCAGCACCAGCTGGGAATGCTCACCTGGAGAGGAGAAGCTCCAGGGAGAGCTCAGAGCCCCTGGCAGGGCCTGAAGGGGCTCCAGGAGAGCTGCAGAGGGACTGGGGACAAGGGATGGAGGGACAGGAGCCAGGGAATGGCTGCCAGTGCCAGAGGGCAGGGCTGGATGGGATCTGGGCAATGAGGAATTGTTCCCTGGCAGGGTGGGCAGGGGCTGGGATGGAATTCCCAGAGCAGCTGGGGCTGCCCCTGGATCCCTGGCAGTGCCCAAGGCCAGGCTGGACACTGGGGCTGGAGCAGCCTGGCACAGGGGAAGGTGTCCCTGCCAGGGCAGGGCTGGCACTGGGGGTGGAATGAAATGATCCTCAAGATCCTTCCCACCCAAAGCCTTCCATGATTATCTCAGCAAACTGAAAGGAGTTTGGTGATACTGGAATTAACAGGCACCAGCAGCCCCTTTCCAAGTAATCCAAAGGACACAATCAGGTCTTATTTCATGATCAAAGAATGGAAGATTTTCAGTCAGGGCTATAAAAACGTGGGAAAGACAAAGCATGGTCTGTCCTGAAGGCATTGCTTGGATTTAAAGAGATTCACTGAAACAGCAGGATAAAGGGAAGAGGAATACCTAGGAAAATAGATTAAAATATTTTTCTTATTCAGGTAAAAAGTAGCATTTGGTTCTTTTTTGGCTTGATAAGACACAGCAGTGAGGACCACAATTTAAATGAATCCTGAACGTGAGCCAGGCATTGCTGTTATTACATTTTCTTAGCTTTAAGGCAGTTTGAAGAGTCAGAAATTTTCACAGTGTTAATAAAATTTTATGTGGCAAATTATCTTCACCATGATTTGCTCTTGTGTTCTGAGTGAGTGCAATCCCCCCACTCTCCCTTGGCACCACGATGAGCTTTCAGCCCTAACAAATCTGATTTATCTCCTCACTCTTCAGCACAGGAGATTCCTTCCCAGAAGGACTAGTTTCAAGGATAAAACACCCTTGAAAATGTGGAATTTAGGGATTCCTTGCCCCCTGCCAAGATGTAGGGCTGGGAAGCCAAGCTCTCTGCCCGGCCAGTGCTCCCAGTGTTGATTTCCCAGGGAAGGGGTAACAATCCCAGCTGCAGAGGGGGATTGCTGCCAGGCTGTGCCCACCTGCAGGGGTGTGGATGCATTCCTGCTGGCTGTAGGCACTGCTTTTGTTGTAGGGCTCAGAGAAGGCCTGGACTCTGACACAGTACAGCGTGGAGGGGGACACATCAGGGACTGTGGCTATGGTCTGCTTCACCTCCTTCTGCTTCACCTCCTCCTGGGAAAAGCAAAACAGGGAAAAGGAGGGATCAGATCCCATGGACAGGAATCTCAAACAGGTGAGAGCTGCAGCCTCTGATGGAGGAGTGACTCTGTGAAATGTCAGACATTGCTGCAACCCCAGGATCTGCAGGGCTGGAGACTTTCCAGCTCATCCAGTCCCACATCCAGGTTGCCTCTGGAACATTTCCAGGAACTCCATCCCTCCCTGGGCACCCAGATTCAGTAAAATAAATAAACCAGCCCCTTAGATCCCAAGCAAAACTCAGCAAACACTTCCTGGGCAAGAACCAAGTGCTTCCCCCATTCTGAAATGTCACAATTCCAAGTTTCCAGGAAACTCCTTCCTGCTGCAGTTTGCTTCCTTCTCTTCTGCCCCCCTTTTGCCAATTACTGTGAAACATTTTACCCCAAGAAGTATTTAAAGAACATGGAAAGATCCATTAAAATGTGAGCTAAAAGGATGCAGGACTTCAGTGTTTGAGGAGCTTTTTCCATCCCATCACACACAGCCACATCCATGGAAATGGAGATGTTACCCCATCACTGGGAGATCAAATCACAGTGAACAGATTTCTAAAAAAGTTACATAAAAATCCCAACCACTGGGTGACAAAAGCCACAGTGCTCAGGTTTTTGACAGAATCTTTCATTAAAAAGTCCAATAAATTGACTTTTTTAAAGACTAATATACCACAAATGTGCCTCTTTTGGAAAGGAGCTCCTCAGGGAGAATGGAAACTCAGGATTTAAGCCAGAATCAATTTTATATTGCATGTAATTTGTTCACACCTTCGTATCTGAGGAATTTTTCCAGTACAGGATCCTGTAGGACAAGTCATAATGGTCCCTCATGACTTCATCCTCATCTCCTCCTGGAGGAGAAATAAGGATGTGGAGCAAAGTATCACTGAGGTCCAGCCTTACACCAGGAGGGCCAATTCCATCTGAAAACAATCAAATAAATAATTAAAATCCAATTAACACATTGCTTCAAAGACTGCCACTGATAACTTTGAAGAATCATAGAGTTAGAAGTACGATTTCATAGTTTTATACAGAATATCAAGTCCTGAGAATCATTTCAATGAATTTCACTATGTTCTTGTGAAATCCCCTCTCCAGGCTCCTGCCAGCTCATAAAGCCACGTGGCAGAAGTTTGCTGAGCAACGAGCACTTCAGGAAACCATTTCCTTACTTGTTTTCAGGGGATCCACTTTGACTTCCCTGGAGAAGCAGGATTTGGTGTGTCCCTCCCTGGCCTGCACTCTCAGGTAATAAAACCCATTGGGGGTGATGATGGAGGAGAAGTTGCAGCTGGTGCTGGTGGTGTTCTCACAGCCAGGGACACTGAGCCACTTGTCTGAGTAATCACCATTGAGCTTCTTCCAGAAGCCACTGCAACAGAGAATTCAAGAGTTTTCATGTCAGCTCCCTGAACTCCTCTAGAAAATCACATTTGTTTGTGCTGCACTTGGCTCAGTTTTGGGCAAAAAAAGGCCTCTAGTAATAAAAAAAACCCAAAAAACCAAACCAAACCAAACACCCAACATTTGAATATGAGACATTTCTGAGTGGAACAATGAAGATAAAAGGGCCAGGGAATACAAATCAGGGCTTTGGCCAAGGCTCAGCAGAGAAATGAAAAGTGGGGTGGGCACTGAGAATCCAAATGAGAAGTTCTCACGTAGCTCTGTGCAGTCCACTGCTTTCCTGCCATGCCAAAGAATTCCCAAGGAATGCCAGGGGATCCCTCCTCTTCTGTTAGGTGCTGGCCACAATATTTATGCAGCAGCTGGAGATTGAGATACAGATTTTAGAGCTGCTTCCTAATGGGATTTTATGGATGTGATTCGATGGGTTTTTATGGGATATCATGGGGGGTTTAATGGCATTCCTTGTTTTTTGATGCAATATGATTTTTATCTGGTTTTCTTTTTGTGACACAGTGTTTTTGTGTGTGATATGATGGGGTTTGATGTGATACAAGGGTTATTGCATGTGACATGAGGGGGTTTTTGTATGACTTGATGGGTTTTTTATGGGACACAACATTTCCTTTATGGGACAATATTTCTTTTATGGGACACATTCTTTTAATGTAACACAACATTTCTTTACCTGACACATTTTTTTATGTGACACAGTGTGCTGCCTTGGGTTTTCTCCCCTATTTGGGTTTGCCCAGAAGAAATCCAAGCTGCTGCCAACTCAAACCTCCACCACCTGTACTTCTGCTCACTTTTACTCATCTAATTTCTTCACATTCAAAAAGCCACTAAGCAGTTCAAGCTTTAAAAATGTCCCTCAGCATTCAGGAGTCCCTTCCATCAGGAGTTTAACCCCCCAAAAAATCCCAGGTGTTACATCAACAGCAGTGAGCCATTCACGTTCCCATTAACACACGAAGCCAGCAAATATTTCATTTTAACCTCCAGGAAACACTTGGAGAACACAATAAAAGGGATTTCAGATGGCAGGGCTGGGAATGGCTGGACTCACAGCAGGTACTGCACGTTGTAGGTCACATCCTGATTTTCCTGGCTGCTCCAAAGCAGGTGGAATTTCATGTTCAGAGCCAGGACACTCAGGTTGGTGGCACACAGGGGGTCGTTCACTGCTCAGGGGGAAAAAGAAAGCCAAAGTTACCAAAAAACTTACAGATTTTAGAGCTGCTTCCTAATGGGATTTTATGGATGTGATTCGATGGGTTTTTATGGGATATCATGGGGGGTTTAATGGCATTCCTTGTTTTTTGATGCAATATGATTTTTATCTGGTTTTCTTTTTGTGACACAGTGTTTTTGTGTGTGATATGATGGGGTTTGATGTGATACAAGGGTTATTGCATGTGACATGAGGGGGTTTTTGTATGACTTGATGGGTTTTTTATGGGACACAACATTTCTTTTATGGGACAATATTTCTTTTATGGGACACATTCTTTTAATGTAACACAACATTTCTTTACCTGACACATTTTTTTATGTGACACAGTGTGCTGCCTTGGGTTTTCTCCCCTATTTGGGTTTGCCCAGAAGAAATCCAAGCTGCTGCCAACTCAAACCTCCACCACCTGTACTTCTGCTCACTTTTACTCATCTAATTTCTTCACATTCAAAAAGCCACTAAGCAGTTCAAGCTTTAAAAATGTCCCTCAGCATTCAGGAGTCCCTTCCATCAGGAGTTTAACCCCCCAAAAATCCCAGGTGTTACATGGAATTCTTCCAACAGCAGTGAGCCATTCACGTTCCCATTAACACACGAAGCCAGCAAATATTTCATTTTAACCTCCAGGAAACACTTGGAGAACACAATAAAAGGGATTTCAGATGGCAGGGCTGGGAATGGCTGGACTCACAGCAGGTACTGCACGTTGTAGGTCACATCCTGATTTTCCTGGCTGCTCCAAAGCAGGTGGAATTTCATGTTCAGAGCCAGGACACTCAGGTTGGTGGCACACAGGGGGTCGTTCACTGCTCAGGGGGAAAAAGAAAGCCAAAGTTACCAAAAAACTTCATGTTCTGGACAGGGAATGGACATTTCTAATGTCAATAATGAAAACATAAACATTATTAATTATATAATTAATATAATTAATTATATTGCAATTCAAAGGCTGTGAAGTGCAAAGCATCCTATCAAGCCTTTAATTTAAAAAGTCAGTTAAAATCAATTCAGAAAAAAATTGAAGTGTACAAATATTGAGAGGAGCAGAAATGAACTGGTTTGGGAATAACATGAGGAGAAAAATGTATAAAATACACATCTGCATTTATTGTACTTTTTTTTTTGTTTTAATATTTTATTAAAATAAGAATGTGACACAATATTTTATTAAAATAATAAAAATTGCATGTATCAGTTATTGTAATATTTTATTAAGATACACATATATTATTTTAATATTTAAAAAATACACATGTATTCTTTTAATATCTTTTAAAGACACAGATGTGTATTAATTAATGTATTATGGGTATAATTTTCATTTACCATCAATCATTTACATTTTGATGTACCATCAACTCATTATGATGCACCACCCCTGTCCAATCTAATATTTGACTTTCTGCAGCTATTTTTTCCTAAAATAAACATCTAAATCAACTGCACAGCACAGAAAATAATTTAATTTTACATAACAAGGTGGCAAACTGCCCCCTCAAAGCCTTTCTTCAGCAGCTGTAACAATCAATTCACCAAGGATTATATAAAACCAGCATTCTTTTAAGCTCAGCTCAACTTTCTGTGCATTCATTGAGTGCCAAGTATTTTGGTTTTTTACCTCCTGCTTCAGTCACTGATTCAAAGAGAAGAGTTTTCCAAAGCACACAAAGAAGTTTTTGTTCCAAATGAATGTCAAAGTTTGCCTCATGGCAAAAAAACTTTCTTGTACTACTAAAACTCTACCCTTGACGTATTTTATGTTGATTGAGAAGGGCAAATATAGATAATATATATTTTTTTATACAAAATGAGGAGGAATTTGGCCCTTCTGCCCATTCCTGCTGCCTCAGAACACCTGGCTGTGTGCCAGTTCAAGAGAAGCCATCATTTGCAGGTAACCTGATTTCCTGGGTACCTTTCTGGGTGGTTTTCACACAGCTGGTGGGGCTGAACAAGCCTTCCTTTCCCTCCCTGGGGAGATTTGCTTGGACTTTGAAGCAATAGGTGCTGTCTGGGGCAAGGTCATGAATGTTGTCAACAGGGAAAATGTTTTTACTCTGCAGCTGCAAGAAGCAAACACAAAGAGCCTGTGAGGGGGACTGTGCTCCCCGGAACATTTTTAAATGATCATTTCAGCCCATTTGTATCATCCCCCACCTCAAAAGGTGAAATGGAGAAAGCAGGACAGTGTTTGAGCTGGAGAAATCCTAAAGGGAGGTTTGCAGCTTAGCCAGAGACTGACAGGCAGGAATATTTTGGCTCCTTTGCCATGGCAGTGGGGAGGGATTGTTCACCCCACAGACATCCCAGGATGAAGCAGGACATTCCCATCCCTCCACCACCCAAACACTCCTCTCTCCTCTGCCTTTGGCTCCCCAGACTGACCATACCCAACTGTACTTCTGGGCCTTTTGCTCCTTTGGTGTGCAATCCCAAAATCCCAGAGGTGGGAAGAGCCCTCCAGGATCACCCAGTGCCACCCCAGCCCCAGCAGCATCACCCCAAAGCCTGTCCCCAAGGCCACATCCAGACTCCTCTGGGACAATCCCAGTGACTCCAAACCTCCCTGGGCAGCTCAGCCCAAGGCCTGACCACTCTGTGAGGGGAATTTTATTCTGTCTTTAATCTGAACTCCCCTGGTGCACCTTGAGGCCATTCCTCCTTGTCCTTTCCTCATTCCTGTGCTTCCCCCCCGGCTGTCCCCTCCTGGCAGGGACTTGTGCAGAGCCACAAGGGCCCCCTGAGCCTCCTTTGCTCCAGGCTCAGCCCCTTCCCAGCTCCCTCAGGAATCCTCCAGCCCCTTCCCAGCTCCTCAGCAATTCTCCAGCCCCTTCCCAGCTCCCTCAGCAATTCTCCAGCCCCTTCCCAGCCCTGGACATTCTCCAGCCCCTCAAGGTTCTTTCTGAAGTGATGATGTTGAGCTGATCTCCCAAAAGAACACAGACTGCCCTTCGATCCCTGCCCTAATTTAGATGACTCTCACTTCCCTAAAAAAGATAAAAAAGGAAGAGTTTCTCCCCTGCTCCTCACAGGAGAGCTCTGGGTGCTCTGCAGGACACACATGCTGACTTGGAACCCAGTTCACAATGGCAACAACTCAAAAAAGTCCCTGGATGAGGGCAATCCCAATAAAACAATCCTATGATAAGAACAAAATCTTCCCACCAAGAAAAAACCACCTCCCCCAGCCTTCAAACACACAGGAGCAGTTCCACAGTGACAGAAGCAAACAATTCCATTTCAGAGTACAAATTAAATTCCATCTCTGACAGTTCTGGTAAGGTTAAATAACAAAAAAGAAGTGCTGATACCTGAGCATGTGAGGAGTTTTCCCAGAAGACCAGGTTATATTTAAAACTCAGGTCATTGATCCACATTTTTTTCCTCTGATTTGCTTCTGGAGGAGAAACCATAACTTTTACAACTCCATTTGTGGACTGCAATTCCAGTCCTGGTGGACCAATCTGGGCTGCAAATATGGAAAGAAAAAAGAAGTTAAACATGTCTACTTTGAGAAAATACACCCCAAAAGCAGTATATAATAATAAACCTAAAGTACCTGCCTATGGTATATTATTTTTAATTATTTTGAATAATCACCTACAGGATCTTAAGTTTTCATGACTCAGGTAGTTTCTAAAAGAAATTTAACCTAACAACCAACTACCATCTCCAGGTTCTAAAAGCAGTTAAAATTAAATACTACCAGCAAATGTTTTCCAAAAAAAATCAGTATAAATTATTCTAAAACCTGCAAGGCAAGAGACTTAGCTCAGTCCAACAAATCCAGCATCAAAGGAGGGCTTCAGTACCACTGGAACTGCTGAAAAGCCACAAACTTCCCAAAAATGGGGTTCTTGGAGCAACCTGGTCCAGGAAAGGTGTCCCTGCCCATGGCAGAGGGTGGAATGGGATGGGCTTTAAGGCCCCTCCCAATCCAGAGAAATTTGGGATTCTACAAAAATCTACTGTCAAAAAGGACTTTTCCAAAAAATAATATGGGAAACTACAGAGTGACAGGAAATTCAGTCAGAAAACCAGCACCACCTGGAATAGTTTTCCCTCTCCAGAAAAGACAGAATTGCAGCACTCCATGACCTGCAGATGCCTGATCTTATGTTCCTGCTGGGAAACTCCACCTGTCCTGCTGTTACCAGCACTGGAAACCACATATGGTTTTTCCAAAATCCCTCATTCCAGACTGCTCCTGCTGTTGGTGTCCCAGGGCTGGGGGCTCTGCAGGTGGGGTCCCACCTGAGCAGGTCCAAACCCTCCCCGAGGTGCTAAAGGAAGCAAAGTGTCCCCAGCAGCCCCGAGCTCGTACCGACTTGTTCTGGAACCATCTCCAGGACCTCGGACCACGGGGACTGCAGCGGCCCTGCCTGGGCCCGGACGCGCACGTAGTGGGCATCGTAGTACTCGGAGATGGCCGAGGAGAAGTCACAGCCTGTGCCAGCCACAGCCTGGCACCCTGGCAGCTCCTGCCAGCCCGTGTCCTCCAGCTCCGGCCTGCGGGACAGACAACAGCCCGGATTAAACAACAGCCACAGGAGAAACAACAGCCCCAGGACAAACACCCCAGAATAAACAACTGCCTCAGGAGAAACAACAGCCCCAGGAGAAACAACATCCACAGGAGAAACACCCCAGATAAACAACAGCCCCAGGAGAAACAACAGCCCCAGGAGAAACAACACCCCCAGGAGAAACAAAATCCATAGGAGAAACCCCCCAGATAAACAACAGCCTCAGGAGAAACAACACCCCCAGGAGAAACACCCCAGAATAAACAACAGCCCCAGGAGAAACAACAGCCCCAGGAGAAACACCCCAGAATAAACAACAGCCCCAGGAGAAACACCCCAGAATAAACAACAGCCCCAGAAGAAACAACAGCCCCAGGAGAAACACCCCAGAATAAACAACAGCCCCAGGAGAAACAACAGCCCCAGGAGAAACACCCCAGAATAAACAATACCCCAGGAGAAACAACACCCCCAGGATAAACAACACCCCCAGGAGAAACACCCCAGATAAACAACAGCCTCAGGAGAAACAACATCCACAGGAGTAACAACATCCACAGGAGAAACATCCCAGATAAACAACAGCCCCAGGAGAAACAACATCCACAGGAGAAACACGCCAGAATAAACAATACCCCAGGAGAAACACCCCAGAATAAACAACAGCCCCAGGAGAAACAACAGCCCCAGGAGAAACACCCCAGATAAACAACAGCCCCAGGAGAAACAACAGCCCCAGGAGAAACACCCCAGATAAACAATACCCCAGGAGAAACAACACCCCGAGGACAAACATCCCCAGGATAAACTACACCCCCAGGATAAACAACACCCCCAGGACAAGCAGCCTGGGATAAACACTCAAGAATAAAAGACACCCCCAGGACAAACACCCCCAGGAGAAACAATACTCCAAGATAAACAACACCCCAGGATAAACAACACCCCCAGGATAAACAGGCCGGATTCAACAACACCCCCAGGACAAACCACAATCCCCAGGAGAAACACCCTGGAATAAACACCCCCAGGAGAAACAACACACCAGAATAAACAACACCCCCAGGACAAACAGCCCAGATTAAATGACACCCCCAGGTTAAACAGCCCTGATAAACAACAGCCACAGGAGAAACAACAGCCCCAGGACAAACACCCTGTGAGAAACAAGGCTCACTCTAAGATTTTGAGAAGTTGAACAAGGGCTGGAAGGGACAGTTCCCAGCGCGGGGTGCCTGGCAGACTGCCAGGAGCACACACGAACTGACACAGCTCTGAGGTGCTCTCTCATTGCATGGGCCACATGAATATTCATGAGGATTATGCATATTCAACCTTCCCTCGGCTTCACATGCTTCAGCAATATCTTCCTTCGGGCCCTGGCCTCACCTTCTCAGAGCACAATGCAGATGGGATGGGAGACTTTTGTATTTTATTTCAGAGATGGGGTTTTGAGAGTTTTGTGGTTTATTTCCTCACGAGGCTCCCTGGTCTGTGGTTTGACAGCTACTGATACCCAAGGGGCAGTGGTAGATTCTTCTTTGCTCTTTTGGTGTTATTTGCATGGTTCTTTTCAATGTTATCTTATCATACAGATATTTTAGCCATTTTTACAAGTACTTTCAATCAATATTAGCTATTTCACTCTTGAATAGATATTGCATAGATATTTCACTATTGTCAGTTACAAAAATAAAGGCATTAGTTATTATTTCACAACTTCAATTATTATTATTTCATTAATTTCTTTTTAATTGTGTTGTATTGTATTAATTATTATTAATATTAATAGGTATTACAAATTAATAAGATATTATTATTATTAGTGTTGTTATTATTATTATTTCACTACTACAATTACTTCTGCAAAAGTTAAAGTTATAATACACAGTGCATAATATTTTGCAAAAGCCTAAACTATAATATATATTTATCACACTAAGATACACAATCCACACAGGGATTAGAGTATTAACTATGAAAGGCTGACAAATTATACTACATCAAAAGCAGTTAAAAAGAGATTACAAACTGCAGTCTATCAAAATAATTTACAAAAGCCAATAATAGCAAAATACAATAACTACATAGTTATTTATAACACACCCCCAGGATAAATAGCCTGGGATAAATCCAACCCACAACCACTGAAATTATTCTTATTTTCTTCTTAACTTTAATAAACATCACCCCTTTTCATGCTGCTTTATCATCAGTGCAATCAGTGTTATCTCCTTATAAATTATCCCACAACTGCCAGAACACAGAATTACATCCTCAGGATTATGATATTTCCTAGCCTGGCAAAGGTTTTATAATTCATGGGAAGGATTTGAAAGTCTTGACAAAAGTGGTTAAAGGAGCACAAAACCAGCAGAACTCCACTAATCATAACATGAGCCAGGAATGGAAATTAAGGGAAAATAAAAAACACAGAGGTGAAAAGTGGAGCTCAGCAATGATCAGGTTTTCAGCAGCTCTTTTTTAATCAACACACATCCACACCTCAGTAAAGAAAGAGATTTATAGAGACATTTAAAATGTCCTGGCCACAAAAAGGAGGCACAGACTTGAAGCAGTAGTTGTTTATCCTCAACTCCTACCTTGTGTTTCAGACCAGTCTGATATTTTTTAAAAGAAATCTATTTTCAAAGCAGCTGCTCTTATCTACATATTGGAAAATAAGAGCTATTTTTTTAAAAAATCCAAAATCACAGAATGGTTTGGGTTGGGAGGGACCTTAAAACCCATCCTGTTCCACCCCTGTCATGGGCAGGGAATCTTCCATAATCCCAGGTTGCTCAGAATTTCAGTAATTTTATCTAGAAATGTTTTTCAATATTTACTTCTCAGGAAAGTGCCACAAAATGCCTGTGCTAATGTGTACAAAAGAACTGGGATATGGAACAACTGAAGGAAACCAAGGAAATATTTAAGAACAAACCTTAAATAGTTTTTGTCTGGGCATTAAACTTGCAGCTGAGAAACGTGGGTTGATGAACTCTGAGAAATTAGCTGAAAGTTGTACTGAAAATTCCCTCAAATCCTCTGTGTGTGGCCACAGCTGCAGAAACCAAACAAACCAGACTAAATTTAGGAAGGACCTTGGGACACTGAGCACATCCAGAGGGGACAGCCAGGCTGGAGAGGGGCTGGAACACCAACCCTGAGAGGAAGCCCTGAGGGAGCTGGGGGTGCTCCCCTGGAGAAAAGGAGACTCAGGAGTGCCCTCCTCACCCTGCACAGCTCCTGAAAGGTGCCTGTGCTCAGCTGGGCTGGGCTCTGTCTGCAGGGACTGACACAGCCAGAGCACACAGCCTGCAGCTGCACCGAGGGAATGCAGGCTGGAGAGCAGGAAAGAGTTTTTCCAGCAAGGTGATAAAGTTCTGGAATGGCTGCCCGGGGAGGTGCTGCAGTCACCATCCCTGGGGGTGTTTAACAAAGTCTGAATGTGGCACTGGGGGCCAGGCTTTGGCTGAGCTGCTGGGGCTGGGCTGGACTCAAAGGTCTCTCCCAGCCCAGGGATTCTGGGATTCTGTAAATAAACCTAAATTCCACTTCTAAGTGTGCCAGCAAATGTCCTGCAAGAGCCCTGCTGGTGGTTCAGCATTAGCAGCAAGCTCTGTGTGACAAATAACCTGATTTCCCACAGCAGTGAGACAAACCTGGGCCAGCAGCAAGAGCAGCCAGGGATGGCTCCAGGGATGGCACTCAGCACTGGAACTGTGCTGACAATGTCACCCTGGGCTCAGTGCCCCTGTAACCCCAGTGCCAGCAGCCAGGGCTGGCCCCAGGGATGGCACTCAGCACTGGAACTGTGCTGACAATGTCACCCTGGGCTCAGTGCCCCTGTAACCCCAGTGCCAGCAGCCAGGGCTGGCCCCAGGGATGGCACTCAGCACTGGAACTGTGCTGACAATGTCACCCTGGGCTCAGTGCCCCTGTAACCCCAGTGCCAGCAGCCAGGGCTGGCCCCAGGGATGGCACTCAGCACTGGAACTGTGCTGACAATGTCACCCTGGGCTCAGTGCCCCTGTAACCCCAGTGCCAGCAGCCAGGGCTGGCCCCAGGGATGGCACTCAGCACTGGAACTGTGCTGACAATGTCACCCTGGGCTCAGTGCCCCTGTAACCCCAGTGCCAGCAGCCAGGGCTGGCCCCAGGGATGGCACTCAGCACTGGAACTGTGCTGACAATGTCACCCTGGGCTCAGTGCCCCTGTAACCCCAGTGCCAGCAGCCAGGGCTGGCCCCAGGGATGGCACTCAGCACTGGAACTGTGCTGACAATGTCACCCTGGGCTCAGTGCCCCTGTAACCCCAGTGCCAGCAGCCAGGGCTGGCCCCAGGGATGGCACTCAGCACTGGAACTGTGCTGACAATGTCACCCTGGGCTCAGTGCCCCTGTAACCCCAGTGCCAGCAGCCAGGGCTGGCCCCAGGGATGGCACTCAGCACTGGAACTGTGCTGACAATGTCACCCTGGGCTCAGTGCCCCTGTAACCCCAGTGCCAGCAGCCAGGGCTGGCCCCAGGGATGGCACTCAGCACTGGAACTGTGCTGACAATGTCACCCTGGGCTCAGTGCCCCTGTAACCCCAGTGCCAGCAGCCAGGGCTGGCCCCAGGGATGGCACTCAGCACTGGAACTGTGCTGAGAATGTCACCCCGGGGTCCCTGCCCTGGTACTCCCAGCTCAGGGTGAAATTGGTGTTCACCACGTGCACCCGCACGTCCTCTGGGCTCGGCAGGCTGCTCTGGCCTAGGAGAAACCAGCAAGCACAGAAATCAAATGTTACAATCAGAGAAAAGATACAGATAAAATTAAAATAAAATGTTAAAATAGAATAAAGTATTATGCTAAAAAGCAAATACAACATTAGGATAAAATTAAAATAAAATAACGTATTACAAAAAAAGACAACATGAAGATAAAATATTACAATAAGAAAAAAAAATAAAGTATTAAGATAAAATTAAAATGTTAAAATAAAATAAAGTATTACAATAAAAAGCAAATAAAATATCAGGATGAAATTAAGATAAAATATTACAAGAAAAACCAAAGAAAAAATTAAGATAAAATTAAAACAAAATGTTAAAATAAAACAAAGTATTATGATAAAAAGCAAATAAAACATTAGGATAACATTAAAATGAAATATTAAAAAGCAAATAAAATATTCAGATAAAATTAAAATAAAATGTTAAAATAAAATAAAGTATTATTATAAACAGCAAATAAAACATTAAGATAAAATTAAAATAAAATACTAAAATAAAAAGCAAATTAAATATTAAGATAAAATTAAAGTAAAATATTACCATAAAATAAAATCTAAAGTAAATAAAATATAATAATAATTGTAGTAAATGCAATAAAAATTAAGTAGAACAAAAATAAAATTAATAAAATAAAAACTAAAAAGTAAAAAATAAAATAGATATAAAATTAAAATAGAAAACAAAATAAAAATGAATTAAAATTTAAAAATACACACAATAAGTAAAACACAATAAAAACCAATAAAATATTGAAAAAATTTTCTACAGAATAAAAATTAAATCAAAATACAATCAAATTTAAATAAAATGAAACAAAAATAACTACAAATTTAAACAAAATAAAAGAAATAAAACACCCCTCTTGGCCTTGACGTTCTCTTTTGCCTGTTCCTATTTTACCTGAGGTCATTTAGCAAGGCCTTCCCAAGGGTTACAGTTCCAAAGCCACATCTGCAACTGCCCTTTGGGATCAGCCTGATGTTTGATTTGATGAGGAGGAAACCAGAAGCAATAAATGCCATTGCAGCTGGGACTCCCTGGCCACTCATGGCTTACCCTGAGCCTGCCTTTGGGAGAGGCTCTTCATTACAAATCCAATATTTGATTTATTTTTCCCCCACAGGTTCCCTGTCTGCAAAGGGGGACGTGTGGAAAAGCAGAATGACTGAATTCTGCAAAATCCTTTTGGAGAAGTGGGACCCACCGGCTGTATGCGGATTTTGGGAAATAACTCCTGAAAGCACAAAAACATGAAAGCCAAATCGTTCAACAAACCCTTGTGGCTCCCACTAAAGAATTTATTCCTCTTCTGACAGAGTAAGACAAACCCAGAGAATGCCAAAGGATGTTTGCTCAGAAAATAAGAAAACAAAGGAAAAAACAGATTTTTTTTCCCCCAGATATTTATCCAACACATGGCTACAATTCAACCAAAACCCTTGTGACAACAAGGGCCCCACGGACTCCAAGTGATAAAAATGCTACCACATTCCAATTATTAGAGTATTTATGTTAGCCTTGGGCAGAAATTCAAATATTTAGTGTATTTTGCCAGCTTTTCAAATCCTTAATTTACAGAGCACGAGGCTTTCCAGGACTCCTTGTCAGACCTCAGCAGGCCAGATGGCAAAAAGCAGCAGTGGGAGCAGGAGGGAGATCCTGTCCCTGTTGTGAGCAGAGATTTTCTGTGCTTTAACCCAGCCTGTGTTTCCTACAGCTGGGAAAAACCCCAGGAAGGTTATTTCCAAACCAAGAGAAAGCTGAATGGCAGCAGCAATTCTTTACGTTTTCCTTTTAAGCCAAATTTCAGCTTCCTGAAGGAATTGTATTGTTCTCTTTTGCATTCATTCCAAACGGTTCAACTTGCTTGAAGCAGTGTAAAAAAAATCACAATAAATGGCTGAGATTAATGAATGGAGGTCTAATTTATGAGACATGACCTAATAGTTCTCTTCTAATGAGCACTGCTATGCCCTGATACTTTTGGGGTTTCTAAAAACACCCAACAAAATAATGCTGTGTAATTTATGGGTATTTTTTTTAATTTACAGGTCTGCTATTTTAACCCTCCTCTCTTTGCCCTGCACTTGTTTGCTGGAGTACTGATCCAGTTCCTCAGGATACTTCTGGATCCTCCACCCTACAGACAGGAATATGTGATCCAGCCATCCACCCTTTCACATATTTCACTATTTCCAATGAGTTTTGTGCTTGCTTCCCTAAATTAATTCCACAAATCATTAATTTCCCAATGAATAGCTATGCAGGAAGGAAGGAGCAAACTCAGTGATGTTTAATCAGCAGGGAAATTTTGTGAGGTAGGAACTTGATATGCAAAGAAAAGCCTAAAAATCAACACCTCCTCCTGGCTTCTTTTATTAATGGTTAAAAGCCAGACATTTAAAACTAATTCCTGTTTGTCCACTTGAGCATGACGACACTTTGGTTCTGAGAAACCATTATAAGGGATTAGAATTTTGTGGAAAGAAGAGATTAAAAAGCAGAAATGCCTATCTCCCTCCCCTGTCAAATTCCAGTAAATTAAACCAACCCAAACTGTTCTAACACAGAAAAATTACTGCTTTGTTCATGAGATGCTCAGCAATGTTGACGGTTGAAAATAATAATGATTACATAACAAAATCTATTCAGCAACAGGAGAAAGCAAGAAATGGCAACACAGCAAACCCCTGGTCAGGGGAAATCCCAGGAGGAGCACATGATGCTCGCTGCTTACGACATCCTGGGGTGCAGGAGCCAGTGGAAAATTTCAGTCAACGTTTGAGCAGAAGAAGGAAGAGGAGGCCCCTCACATGTGACACCAGAAAAGGCTCTGAAGGACTCTGATGTGCAAAGAAACTTTGAGCAGCAGCACAGGGAAAGCTGGGCTTGGCTCAGGGGAAGGGAGAGGGCACTGAAGCAGAGCTGTTGGAATTTCCAGAGTTAGAATCAGACACTGGCTGGGATTTCAGAGCCCACCCGTACCCAGGTGGATCCAAGCCCCAGTGTCCAGCCTGGCCTTGGGCACTGCCAGGGATCCAGGGGCAGCCCCAGCTGCTCTGGGAATTCCATCCCAGCCCCTGCCCACCCTGCCAGGGAACAATTCCTCATTGCCCAGATCCCATCCAGCCCTGCCCTCTGGCAGTCTAAAACCATTGTCCCTGGTCCTGTCACCCTCTGTACAGTCTCTCTGCCCTCCTTTGGAATGCTTCGCAATCCTTCCTCTTCCAGCAACAGGTTTTGGGCAATCGTTGTTTTTTGCTGTGTAAGGGCAAAAGACAAGGCACAAGCTCCCCGTCCTGCCAGCCAAAACCCCCATCCTGCCATTCTACCTCTCATTTCCTCACTCATCCTTTAGGCTCTGCCAGACTGTGACTTCCAAGCCAAACAACGGGAATCCAAAGCTGTTTCACCCACAGCGGCTGCAGCCGCTGCAATCCACCGGGAAGGGGTGGCGTGGAGGAGAGGGACAGTCCACAGGGAATGGCTGCCAGTGCCAGAGGGCAGGGCTGGGTGGGATCTGGGCAATGAGGAATTGTTCCCTGGCAGGGTGGGCAGGGGCTGGGATGGAATTGCCAGAGCAGCTGGGGCTGCCCCTGGATCCCTGGCAGTGCCCAAGGCCAGGCTGGACACTGGGGCTGGAGCAGCCTGGCACAGGGGAAGGTGTCCCTGCCATGGCAGGGGTGGCACTGGGTGGGATTTAAGGTCCTTCCCAACCCAAACCCTGCTGTGATTCCATGACAACCCTGCGAACACGACACATCCTCACCGACACCGTTATCCCGCCCTCATCCCCGCAGAGCTCCGGGACCGCGGCGGGACCCGCGCCCCGCTCTCCCCTCGGCCCGGGGAGGGGGCCCCGCGCCGGCCCCGCTCCCTCAGGGCTCCCGGGACCCACCTGCGCAGCGCAGCGGGACCAGCAGCAGCGGCAGCACAGCCGCCAGCCAGAGCCCGCCCGGCACCCACAGCCGCCGCCGCTCCGCCGTCCTTCTACCCCATGGCTTCTCCGTCCGTCCATCCCCGGGCTCCTCCGGCTTCTCCGTCCATCCATCCCCGGGCCCCGCCGCCACTCCAGCCCCGGGCTCCGCCATCCAGGGCAGCGCTGCCGGAAGCGCCGGCGGCCGCGCTTGCGCGGAGCGGCCCGCGATGTCGGGACTGTGAGGGGCGGTCAGGGCTGTGTGAGGGCGGTGTCAGGGCCGTGAGGGGCGGTCAGGGCTGTGAGGGGCGGTCAGGGCTGTGTGAGGGCGGTGTAGGGGCTGTGAGGGGCGGTCAGGGCTGTGAGGGGCCGTCGGGGCCATGAGGGCGGTCGGGGCTGTGAGGGGTGGTCAGGCCTGTGTGAGGGGGGTGTTGGAGCTGTGTCGGTGCAGTGTCGTGGCTCTCTGAGGGCAGTGTGGGGGCTGTATCGGAGCTGTGTCAGAGGGCTGTGTGAGGGCTGTGTCGGGTTGGTGTCGGGGCTGTGGTGAGGGACGGTCGGTGCTGTGAGGGACGGTCAGGGCTGTGTGAGGGCGGTGTCAGGGCTGTGTGAGGGCGGTGTCGGGGCTGTGAGGGACGGTCAGGGCCGTGAGGGGCGGTCAGGGCTGTGTGAGGGCGGTGTAGGGGCTGTGAGGGATGGTCGGGGCTGTGTGAAGGCGCTCTGAGGGCGGTGTGGGGACCCCTGGCCCCTCCCGGAGCTCGCCGTGCCGCCCCAGGCCCCGGCCGGTGTCACCAAGTCACAGCATAGCCCGAGCTGGAGGCACACGCGGCGGTCACCGGCCCTGCACAGCCCTTGGCACAAACCCAGGGTCACGGAGCTGCTCCAGGGCTGGAGCCCCTCTGGAGCCAGGCTGGGAGAGCTGGGGGTGCTCCCCTGGAGAGGAGAAGCTCCAGGGAGAGCTCAGAGCCCCTGGCAGGGCCTGAAGGGGCTCCAGGAGAGCTGCAGAGGGACTGGGGACAAGGGATGGAGGGACAGGAGCCAGGGAATGGCTGCCAGTGCCAGAGGGCAGGGCTGGATGGGATCTGGGCAATGAGGAATTGTTCCCTGGCAGGGTGGGCAGGGGCTGGGATGGAATTCCCAGAGCAGCCCCTGGATCCCTGGCAGTGCCCAAGGCCAGGCTGGACACTGGGGCTGGAGCAGCCTGGCACAGGGGAAGGTGTCCCTGCCATGGCAGGGTGGCACTGGGTGGGCTCTGAGGTCCCTCCAACCCAGCCCATTCCATTATTCTGTGATTGTCTGGGAAGGGAGGAATCTCTCTTTAGCTGCAGTTTGTCCAATTTCTCAAATGTTCAATTGAATGCTGCAGTGAACATTAAATGCAGTGTGAGTGTTACAGCCCCTGAACTGTGGCTTTTGCTCAGCTCCGTTTTGCCAGCCACAAGTTCTGACCACAAGATCAGAGAGCTCCTCTTCTCTTTTTTTCATGTCATATTTACCATGGGCCAGCTGCAGGCTTGGGGAGGTAAAGGCAGGTGTTCACCTTTCACTTCCCACCCCTCAGCGGGCAGACCAGTGTTCTCAGAGAGGAGGATTTGAAACTCTGGTGGGCAAAGGTCTGTGCCCTCAACATCCTGGCTGTTGTAATCAGGACAGGCTTTGCTTCTTAGGGAGAACACAGACTGACTTTTGGATAAAAATGTTCCTCACTGCTGCTGCCTGTTGTGCCATGGGGTGCTGCGTGTCTGCTGCTCTCAGATCCCTGAATCCCCGGATGGGTCAGGATGGAAAGGCCCACAGTGCTGACCTGGTGCCACCTCTGGGTCACCCAGAGCCCAGGGCACAGGGTTGGGTCCAGGTGGCTCTGGAATGTCCCAGGGAGGAGACTCCAGCCCCTGTGTGGGCTCTGCTCCAGCTCGGTCCCTGCCCAGGGCAGAAGTTGTGCCTCCTGTGAGGGGAATTGCTGGGCTCAGGCCCTGCCCGTGGCTCTGGGGCCATTGCTGGGCCTGGAGCAGAGCCTGGGCCTGCTCTGACCTCTGCACACAGGGACAGAAACAGGGACAGAAACAGGGACAGACACCAGGGACAGACAGGGACACCAGGGATAGACACAGAGACAGGGACAGGGACACACCCTCACCGGGGCTCCTCCCCAGGCTGAGCAGCCCCAGCTCCCCCAGCCTCTCCCGGGCACGGGGAGGCTCCAGCCCCCGGACTGCTGAGCCTGTAGAGCTCCATCCCGGGCTCCAGCAGCGTGAGGGGCATTGCTGAGGCACGGCTGAGCCTGAAGCACGCTCAGCCTGAGGCACGGCTGAGCCTGAGCTGAGGCACGGCTGAGCCTGAGGCACGCTCAGCCTGAGGCACGCTCAGCCTGAGGCACGGCTGAGCCTGAGGCACGGCTCAGCCTGAGCTGAGGCACGGCTGAGCCTGAGGCACGCTCAGCCTGAGGCACGGCTCAGCCTGAGGCACGGCTGAGCCTGAGCTGAGGCACGGCTGAGCCTGGGGCACGGCTCAGCCTGAGGCACGGCTGAGCCTGAGCTGAGGCACGGCTGAGCCTGAGGCACGCTCAGCCTCACAGGGCTGTCACCTCCTGCCCCAGCAGCTGATAAGGAAACGCGATTATGGCATTTCTTTATGTAACCACACCTCAGGGTCACCATTTTGAACCGAAACTGCTGAAGCAGTCTGGCGCTGCTAGAAACATTTTAGAAGCTGGTAAATGTTTACAGTTTGTCTTCTGCTGAGTTTGAATGCAACTTCCTCACCGATGTCAGAAGAAAGGAGCAGAAGCTGGGGCTGTCCAGCCTGCGAGGAGAGCAGAGCTATCTGCAGAGCACAGGCGGCCTGGGGGAACACTGTGTGTCCCTGTGGCCATTGATGTCTGTCCCAAAACTCCTGTGATGGAGGAAACGAGGCCTGCTGGAGTTTGGGCTCTGCTGGGTTTATTTCTGTTGGCTGGCAGACAATGAAGACATCATTTGGTGGTTTCTTCTCATGTCAGCTCTGGAACAGGATGAAAGGGGCAAATACAGCACTTCAGTGTGTGGGAAGTGTAGGAACAGTGGTGCAGGAAGGAAGGACCTCAGGGAGCCCAAGGAGGGATCACATCTATCTACCCTTCCCAAGGGATTTGTGTAATATCCCCCTTCTCAGGCAACATCACCTGTGGGGTTTTTGTTTGTTTCATCATTAGAAAACTTGCCTTGTCTCTGTTTTGTTGCAGTCCTGTACCTGCTCTCAGCTCCCTCAGGAACGCAGAGCACAGGTGATTCATCCCCTGCCCTCAGAAGCCTTTCCCATTTTTTAACACTTTCTTTGCCATCACACTCCTTTCCCCAGACCACCAAACAACATTTCCTGTGTGTTCCTTGTCCCCCTCCTGAGTCCCCAGCCCTGCTCACAGCTCTGCACAGTGCTGAACAGCAGGAAGGATCATCTTTTGGGTCAGGCATTGGAATGATTTCCCCAGGGAGGTTTGGAGTCACTGTCTCTGAAAGTGTCCCAGAGGTGTCTGCATGTGGCCTTGGGGACAGGGTTTGGGGTGATGCTGGCGCTGAGGTGGGACTGGATGATCCCAAAGGGCTCTTCCAGCCTTGATGATGCTGGGATTAGGTTTGGAAGGACAGAAGTGTCTAGGTGGCATCGACCAGGCTGAAAGAATGAGGAAAGCCTGGCATAAACCTCTTTTTACAGCCTGTGTGCCTTCCAAATGTGTAATTTTGAACACATCTGCAAGTTCCACCTTCATGGAGAACATTTAGAATCCCAGACTGGGTTGGGCTGGGAGGGAGGGACCCCAAATCCCACCCAGTGCCACCCTGCCATGGCAGGGACACCTTCCCCTGTGCCAGGCTGCTCCAGCCCCAGTGTCCAGCCTGGCCTTGGGCACTGCCAGGGATCCAGGGGCAGCCCCAGCTGCTCTGGGAATTCCATCCCAGCCCCTGCCCACCCTGCCAGGGAACAATTCCTCATTGCCCAGATCCCATCCAGCCCTGCCCTCTGGCACTGCCAGCCATTCCCTGGGTGCTGTCCCTGCATCCCTTGTCCCCAGTCCCTCTGCAGCTCTCCTGGAGCCCCTTCAGGCCCTGCCAGGGGCTCTGAGCTCTCCCTGGAGCTTCTCCTCTCCAGGCTGGAATTTCTCAGAGATCAGTGAGTTCTGCCCTGTTCAGGGGAGCTCCAGAGCCCGGGTTCACCCCTGGGTCAGCAGGGCTGAGAACCCAACCCACTGCAAATCCTCTTGTCAGGCCCCTCACCCAGATGGGAGAACCTCTCAGGAACTGTAACGTGGCTTCAAAAACTGCCACAGACCCAGAGGGGCAGAGAGGAGGGGTGGAAGTTGGAGAGGAGAGCTGAGTGACTGCTGGCAGAGCTGATGGGCACATGGAAGAAGTTGTTCAGCAGGTTCTTTGGTGCTTTGTGCAGCGGGGAGCCCTGGGCTTGGTGCTGCTGGAGTGAGGATTTCCCCTCTCAGGTGTCCCCAGGGCCTTCTCCTCTGCCTCTGTGCTGCCACCATCATCGCACGCCCTCGGTGGCTGCAGTAATGGCCCGAGGGATGCACAATGAACGTCAGGAGCTCCAGTCCCTAAGGAAGGAATATTTCCAGGACGTTGCTCACAGGTGGCCCAAAGCCTGTGGATTATTCACAGCTCTTGCTGTGAAGCAGCTTTTTGCAGCCCTGCTTTCCACAGCAGTACAATCCCAAGGGAAGAGCCTTGCTCTGCACCCCACTTATTCAATAATAATTTTCTAGGATGATGAATCCTAGAAAATGACATTTTGCCAGGTGATAATGGATCTTTCCCAGTCTGGAAAAAAAAAAAGGCATGAAGCTCCAAGCACAAGTGTTTCTGGTTAAGAATCAATTTAAAAGCTTTTCTAGAGCTTGGTATGGATTTTTCTGAAAGCCTCTCTGGCTCTGCTGTTCAGCTGGACTCCTTCTGGACTTGGGGGGACCTGCTGGGCAGGGAAGACCCCAAAGTTCCCAAGAGGGAGAGATAAAAATGTGGAGCAGGGGGGTGGCTGTGTCCCTGACCCCTGGGTGCCCCCTCTTTGTGCCTCCCCTCCCGTGACTGGTGTTCTCTGAGCTGCTCCTTTCTGCCTTCCCTCTCTGCCCTCTCCTGGAATCTGCTCGCTGACCGCGAGCTCAGACTCTCCTCCTTCAGCTTCCTATTCCTTATTCATTCCACTTTTCTTTGCATTTCAGGCCTGAAATCTTTCCCCAAGCACTCCCAGGCCTTCAAGGGCTGTGTTTTGTCTCTGGCTTTGCCAGAACACTCCGTGCCAGAGCGAGCAGCCTCCAGCATCCCTCTGTACTTTCAGTTTACATCAGCGCGCGGCCAAAGTCCGCCTGATTTATTGACTTGCTGTCATTGCAATGTCCGCAAGCTCAGCTCAGCACGAGCTCTCCAGTGAATCGCTGCTTCCCTCTAAATTATTGCTCCTCCTCTAAATTATTATTTCTTCCCTGTGGGGCCACCCAGCCCACGTGGGGACAGAGGCTGCCCCTGGTCCCCAGGCCTGGCTCGTGCTGTGACTGGCGGGAGCCGTGGCACAGGAAGAGGCCTCTCACCCACAAAAGCTTTCCTGGGTGTGGGGCAGGAAGATTTCTGCAGCAGGGCAAAGCGCACGGCAGCCTGAACAAACTGAACGAACACAGCGGGGTTGATTTTGGCAGCCTGGAAGCGCCCAAGGCCGCGGGGCAGGGACGCCTTCCCCTGTGCCAGGCTGCTCCAGCCCCAGTGCCCAGCACTGCCAGGATCCAGGGGCAGCCCCAGCTGCTCTGGGCACCCTGTGCCACGATGTCCTGGCAGACACTTGTCCTGCTTCCGTCTGAACTCCCAACACCCCTGAGCAGCCCTGGCTGTCATTCTGCCCTGGTTTGCCTCAGCAGTGAGCCTGACTGAAGTGGCACAGCCTTATCTCTGCCTTATCAGCCTCAGCAGAGCCAGCAGCTGCATTCCATAACTCACTGTCCTGTGCACGAGGGAGAGGCAGGGATCTCCAGCCCCTCCTCAGATCCATGTGCAGTGGGCATTTTGCCCCTCTAAAAACCAAAATAAAAGGGGAGAAAATGGGAGAAAAGAAAATATAGAAAAGCTGTGGGAGGAGGGACAGGGAACACACAGGGAGCTGGGCTGGTTCCTTGGAGTGGTGATCCACACACAGGATCAGCATTCCCAGAGCAGCCTTGGGGAGAGGGGCACAAAAGCACCAATGAAATACTTTGAAAAAAAAATCAATGCAATAAATTCCATATTCCCCATGAAAGAATGCGACCAAAATTAAAAAGTGCAGAAAAACCAGGTACAGATTCCATAGAATCCCAGCATCCCAAATCCCCGGGGCTGGCACAGCCCTGCCAGCCCAGGCAGTGCCAGCTGTGCCCCATGGCCACCTTGTCCCCAGCCCAGAGCACTCAGTGCCACCCCCAGGGGACACCTGCAGGGATGGGCACTGCAAAGCTCCCTGGGCAGCCCCTGCCAAGGCCTGAGCACCCTTTCCATGGGCAAATTCCTGCTGCTGGCCCAGCTGAGCCTGCCCTGGCCCAGCCTGAGGCCGTTCCCTCTGCTCCTGTCCCTGTTCCTGGCAGGACCTGGGGACACTGGGAAGGTCCCTGAGCCTCCTCTGAGGGGAGCTGGGAGATGAAAATGGATGGAATCAATTCCTGGTTTCTTCCTGCAAGCGCTCCCCAAAAGGAGACATTTACCCACCAAGTAACAACCCCCAAAGCGTGCGATTCCCGCGTCAGGCTGGGACACAGCTTCACTGCTGGCAGCTTCCCTTTGGTGACAGAGCTCAGTTTCTCCCTGTCACCCTGGCACAGTGACACAAGCCTGTGCTCCTGCCCCAGGGCTGGGGACAGCCCTTACCCCCCTGTGCAGGCGAGGCTGCCTTTGGAGCAGGGAGTCACAGCTCCCTGCATTTTTAACATTAACAACACACATCAGCAGGTAATTAAAATGAGCCTAATTTAATTCCCACTTCAGCTGCCAAGTTTCCCACAGGCATCAGTTCATCCCACCCTAAAAACATCACAACTTTGCATCAGGGAAGAATAAATTCCATAGAAAGATGATTCCCTTAAAAACACATCATTTCTCATTAGGAAAAAATAAACCAGATCAGGTCTTTCCTTACAAAATACGATTTTCTTTTATAAACGTTTTGATTACTTTTTGCAATAAATAGTTCATCAAAGTTCAATTAATTAGCATTCTATACAAATATGACATTTCCTTTTTAGTGTCATAATCAGTGCCAGAATTGCTACAACTCCTCAGGGAGCCACATCCACCAGTGGCAAAAGTTATGGATCTTTTAATTCCTAATTTAGAGCCCAGTTTCTCGCACTTAAAAAAATAAAATGATTCTGTCAAAAGTCTGTGACCCCGTGTTTGGCCGTGGGGTTTTCCTGCTGGGGAACAGCAGTGAGATGAACCCAAAAGTCCTTTTGCTTCTCATTCCCAAGGAAGAATGAGGAGGATATTTAGGATATTATTTCTCCTGAGGCTGCTCCCACTCCTGAGTGGGGGTCTCCTGGTGCAGAGTCCTGAGGGAGCTCTGCTGTCCCCTCGTCCCCAGGCCCTTCAGTGAGGGTTTGGGGTTGCTCTGGAATCACTGTCAGCTCGTCACAAACCAGGAGCTCTTCTCCAGGAGGGAAAGGCTGCGGAGCACTGGGAGGCTTGCTCAGAAACTGGAAAACAAAGAGGAAGTGAGGATTAGGTCTCTCCAGCTGCCCCATCCTGTTTGCTCAGAAACACCGGGATTATTTAACAACACTGGGATTGTTCTGCACACATCAAGTGGCTTTCTCAGGCCTTACAATTCCCACAGGGCCAACAGTGTCATACCCTCCCCAAAAACCCTGTTCCAGCCTTGGGAGCAAGATGGAAGTGCTTCTCAAGAATAACCCCAGGGCTCAGAGGCTTGTTTGGGACAGAAAATTAAAAAAAATAATCAAAGTTTTGATTGGGAACAAACACCAAATGGTAACTGGGCTGTAGGGGAAGAGAGATTTGTCAAGAACCCTGCCCTCTGGCACTGGCAGCCATTCCCTGGCTCCTGTCCCTCCATCCTTGTCCCCAGTCCCTCTGCAGCTCTCCTGGATCCTTCAGGCCCTGCCAGGCCACAATGAGGCCACCCCAGAGCCTTTCCTTCCCCAGGCTGAGCAATCCCAGCTGTGCCAGCCTTTCCTCACAGAGCTGCTCCAGCCCTCTGCTCACCCCAGTGCCCTCAGACAAAACAATTCTGAGCTGAGTTTGGAATGAGAAACCAGCTGCTGTCAGGAGTGCTGTGCAAGGCAGGTACAAAAGGCAGCGCAGGCATCTTCACTGTCAGACCCTTTCCCACCAAACTGGCATTGGGAATGCTGTGGCCCAAACCTGCCACTGAAACATTCCCCTAGTGAAAGCACTGCCTCGGCCAAAGCACGTTTTGGGGAGGCACAGCTGCCTTTGATTCCTGGGCCAGCAGCAGCCCAAAGCTCTCCCTGTCTTTAGAGGCACCTGGAGCAAAGGAGCCTCGAGCACGTCCTGTGTGGAGCTGGTGCTGCTGGCCTGGCTGCTGAGCTCCAGCATCTGCAAACCCAGGGAGGCAGGGACAGGAGCAGGGAATTGTTTCTGTGGTTTTTGTCTGCAGGCAGGGCTGTGGAGATCCTTGGGGGATGTTGTGTCTGTGAGTGAGTGCACATTTCTGGCTGAGGCTGTTTGCTGAAGGCATTTCCCTCTGGAGTTTGCCATGGCTGGAGCTGTGACCGTCAGCACAGACTGAGCCTGTGGCAGCCACTCCATTTGGGTGTCAGGAAAGGAGGAATTAGAGCGAGCACAGGCACTGGGTGTGACAGAGGTCACCTCAACACCAGGGAGCTGGAACAGGAGAGTGGCTCAGCAGGGACTTGGGGAACTTGTTTGCTGAGCTCTGCCTTCACTTTGCATTTCGTGGATTTCACCTTTTCTTGTCCTTTCCCAGTGACTCTGGAGAGGTAATGTGCACTCAAACCAGACTCAGAATCTGTTTGGGAATTAGGTATTGCAGGGTTTCATGTGGAGCACTGGGGTTGGGACTCTAAGCAATGAGGTTTATGTTCTAATTCCTGGACTAATTCCTGGTGTTTTTGTGCAGGGGCCTGAGCAGGGTCCATAAAAGAATGATGTGGTGTAAGGTTTAAAAAATTTATGAACAATCTTACCTTTCCCTTTGAAAAAGTGGCTTCTGTTTCAGTTTGTCACCATCAGTGTAATCAGTTCACAAATGTGACTCATTTTTCTGAAGGTTGCTTCTATTTTTATTCCCTTTTTCCTTCTAAACACACTGTGCTGCTGAAGAAATGTCAGAGCAAGTGGTCAAACATTTTTTGTTTTTCCAAGCAAATTCTGTTGAGGTCTGTTTACTCCCCCTTTCCCAGACACACCCCTTGGTTCTGGATTTATCAGCTCAATTCTGGAGCCTGAACTTGCTCCCCAGAGCCGGGGCTGTGCTCAGGGGCAGCCCTGGGGAGCTGCTGGGTCACTCACTTGTGCTGATCCCTGGGGTGCAGAAAGTTCTGGAAAGTGCAAACCTCCCTTCCATTCTTGCAGGCACAGCAGAGCAGAGCTCCTCTCAGGGTGGAAGGGAAGCTGGGCCCTGTGGCTGCCCTCAGCAGAGCTGGTGTTCCTGCTGGGAACAAGGAGCTTTCCTTGGGAGCCTGGCTCACCTGGCAGCAGGGCAGAGCAGCTCTGTGCTCACTAGGATTTTGGCAATGAGGAATTGTTCCCTGGCAGGGTGGGCAGGGGCTGGGATGGAATTCCCAGAGCAGCTGGGGCTGCCCCTGGATCCCTGGCAGTGCCCAAGGCCAGGCTGGACACTGGGGCTGGAGCAGCCTGGCACAGGGGAAGGTGTCCCTGCCTGGCAGGGTGGCACTGGCTGGGATTTAAGGTCCCAACCCAGTTGGGATTCTGTGATTCCATGACACTCCTGGTGCTGAGCACAGCCTAAAGCAGGAGCCAAAGTCAGCTGCAAACCTGGGAGTGCTGAGCTGACTGAAAATGAAAGCCCCAGAGGAACTGCAGGGACTCAGGAGAGCACAGGAGTTTTTGGTACATCCTTGTTTCTGGGAAGGGATCCTGCTGCAGCCTCTTTGTCCTCTGGCTGTGTGACAGGGGCAGTGGGTCCCCATCAGCATTGGCTGCTGTCACTGCTCTCCTTTTAGCTGGAATTTTCAGACTCCACAGAATCACAGATTCCCAGAATGGTTTGAGTTGGATGGAATCCCAAAGCTCTTCCCACCCTGCCATGGCCAGGGACCCCTCCCACAGCCCAGGCTGCTCTGGTGCAGCTGATCCAGCCCAGGTTCCTTCCTCAGACACTTCCTGAAGTTACAACTCGTGGTCACACTCGTGACAGGACTTTGCTGCAGGAGAAAAAAGGAGCTGGGTTAAGTCTGAAAGGAGGCAGGAGAGACACAGAATTCTGTTGCTCACTGGCTAAATGAGGAACTGAAGTTGACACCTGGTACTCTCTCACTTCAAAATCAACAAACCCATCCTGTTTCTGAGCCATAAAAAGCTGGTGATGACAAATTACAGATCACTGACCATCAGGTGCCAGGGAAAGGAGGCAAAATAAAAGAAGCTCTAAATGTTTTGGCACTGAGAAAAAAAACAAGTGAAAAAACAACTGGCTCTGCTGGAAAAGCTGATTTTCACGTGTTAGGCAGGAAACAAACCTCTTTCAAGTGCTGTGGGAAAATGTAGGAAGGGCAGAAAACATGTTTGGTGAGTCTGTACAGATAAAAACTGGAGAAGAAACAAGCGGTGACAGCCGTGCCCACGACCAGCATGGACCCCACCAGAACAGTCACAATCATCCACACAGGGGTTACACCTGCCAGAGACAAGCAAAAGAACAATTACAACTGTCTCTATTAATTTCTCAGTAATTCTTTTCAATTCTCACTTTCTCTGTGGCTGCCCCTGGATCCCTGGCAGTGCCAAGGCCAGGCTGGACACTGGGGCTGGAGCAGCCTGGCACAGGGGAAGGTGTCCCTGCCAGGGCAGGGTGGCACTGGGTGGGATTTAAGGTCCCAACCCAGTTGGGATTCTGTGATTCCATGACACTCCTGGTGCTGAGCACAGCCTAAAGCAGGAGCCAAAGTCAGCTGCAAACCCGGGAGTGCTGAGCTGACTGAACATGAAAGCCCCAGAGGAACTGCAGGGACTCAGGAGAGCACAGGAGCTTTTGGCACATCCTTGTTTCTGGGCAGGGATCCTGCTGCAGCAGCGTGGCCCTGGGTGGGCTCTGAGGTCCCTCCCAGGCACCCCAGTGCGACTCCACGACCTCCAGCTGCCGGGTTACCGTTGTGGCTGGTCTGCTGACAGAGCTCCCTGCTCAGCTGCCCTGCCTTGCTCCACTCGGGAACCAGCGCCTGCACGCGCACGCAGTACACGCTCCAGGGCTCCAGCTGGGCCAGCACCTCAGAGCTGTGCCCCGTGTCCAGCTCAGCCACCTGCAAGCACAAAAACACGGGTGGAAGAGTGGGAGGTCAGAGACCCAGCTGTGGGATTAGCCAAGGAGTAAGCAAGCATTTGCAATTCCAACTGTACTGAATTACAAGCACGATTAGTTACTGCGCCACCATCCGCACCGCTGACCTTTGCAGCGGCGCTAACGAAGTTTTAGGCTAATGAGGGATGATAAATGAGATCTGCTGTCAGCCAAGCAAGTGAAATCAGCTAGGAGCACAGCTACACACAAACACCATCTAACTGCAGAGGGAGCAAGTGGGATGGAGGAACAGCACAAGAGGAAAAGGCTTGTGCCAGGGGAGTTGGAGATTAGGAAACATTTTTTTAACATTTTTTAAACTCCAGGAGAGTTTTAGATTAGGGACATTATGAAAAATTCCTTCACTGAAAAGCTGTTGAGCCCTGCTATAGGCTGCCCAGAGAAACGGTGCAGCCCTCACCCCTGGAAGTGTTACAAAATGTGTAATGTGGCACTTGGGGACGTGGGCTAGTGGTGAACACGGGCTGCTGGGCTAATGGCAGGAACTGATGACCACTGAGGGCTCTTCCAGCCTGCCCAACTCTGTGATTCTGTGATCTGTCATCTAGGCAAAACCAAAAAAAAAAGAAAGGAATAAAATATTTCTGGGAGCTGTGAGCTGGCTGAGCAGATGAATTTGCTGCTCAGGATCAGTTGTGTCCCTGTGACTGCAGAGCATCCCTCAAGAGGAACAGGAGGCTCTCCAGGCAGGTTTCAATCCTGGAGAAGCACCCACCTCACAGAGAAGCTGTGCAGTTCCCAGGCTCTGCCTGCTGCCTCTTGGGCCCCCAGGGAATGTCCCAGACTCGCACTTGGAAGTGCTGCAGTGCAGTTTGTTCCTCTGGTGAATGCACTGAGGGCAGCCCAGCTGCAGGAACACCTGCATCCCTCAGGAGCCTGGGAGGGGAAAAGCAGGCTGCTGGGTGGGAAGTGGTGGCCCCTGATGTCTGGAACTGAATGGCAAAGCACTGTGCAGGTAACAGATGCAAATCAGAATGACACCTGGTGGAGTCCATTGCATAAAACTGCACTGATGGACAAGGCACTCATTAACTGGGATGGGGTCTGCTGGTCAGAGGCTTCCTATTTGTCTGAAACAGAGGCCAAAAGGCTCTAATTAATACATTATTAATGATCTTTCTCCATGCACTGTGCATGGAGGAGCACAACTGCCTGTGGAAGAGGCTGTCCCTGAGAAGGAGAAAAGGAACTGCAGTGGATACAAACTGCAGAGCTGCACGTGGCCACAGTGAGTAAAAGCCTTAGGCATTTTTAGTATTTTGGGGGGTAAAAAGCCCAAAGTCCCACTGAGAGGGAAAAAAACAGAGTTATTTATAATTATGGAAAGAGAAAATTCTGTCCATGCTGCTGTTTAACTACACAGCTCCTGCATTTACTTTGAGTCCCAGCTGTAGTGAACAGACTTGATTAACTGTAATTAGTAGGGATCCATTTTTACTCTTAGAATCACAGAATCCCAGACTGGGTTGGGATGGGAGGGACCCCAAATGCCACCCAGTGCCACCCTGCCATGGCAGGGACACCTTCCCCTGTGCCAGGCTGCTCCAGCCCCAGTGTCCAGCCTGGCCTTGGGCACTGCCAGGGATCCAGGGGCAGCCCCAGCTGCTCTGGGAATTCCATCCCAGCCCCTGCCCACCCTGCCAGGGAACAATTCCTCATTGCCCAGATCCCATCCAGCCCTGCCCTCTGGCACTGGCAGCCATTCCCTGGCTCCTGTCCCTCCATCCCTTGTCCCCAGTCCCTCTGCAGCTCTCCTGGAGCCCCTTCAGGCCCTGCCAGGGGCTCTGAGCTCTCCCTGGAGCTTCTCCTCTCCAGGGGAGCACCCCCAGCTCTACCAGCCTGGCTCCCGAGCTCTGTAACCTGTGCCAGACCCTCCAGGAGCTCCCAGGACATTCCCAGGATGGCATTTTCCAGGAAAAGCAGAGATGAAGGTCAGGGAAGCAGCATACCCGGGAAGAGGCCGGGTCTGTGTCTCTGCTGCCCCTCTTCCAGTAGAGGATCCTGTACCTCCAGGAGCCGTAGTAGAGCCTCAGGGGCCACCGCTCCTGCTCGTGCTCTGCAAAGGGCCCCGACACATCCACGTGCAGCGCCCCCGAGTCCGACCTGAGCCGCACCTCGGGGGCACCGATGGTGGCTGCGAGGGGAGGGGAGGGGAGGGAGAGGGAGAAAAGGAGAGAAAAGGAGAGGAGAGGAGAGGAGAGGAGAGGAGAGGAGAAAACAATGCATTAAGAGAAGAGAAGAGAAGAGAAGAGAAGAGAAGAGAAGAGAAGAGAAGAGAAGAGAAGAGAAGAGAAGAGAAGAGAAGAGAAGAGAAGAGAAGAGAAAGAAAAGAGAACATTAGATTCAGCTGGACATTCTCACACAGCCCAAAAGTCACCTTTTAAATCATGCATTAGAAAGAAGTAGTTCCTTTTCCTGGGTCACACATAAATTAATGCTTTCCTCACATAACTGCTCTGCAAAGGGGTTTTATTTTTGCAGCTGCATTTTTTGCACCAGGTACCAATGCAAGTCCCATTCCCACACCCTCTAAATGAAGCCAGTTCCCTTTTGCCAGCCGTGGTGGCTCCAGGAGAGGAAGGACCATTTCCACGGCTGTCACTCACCTCCCCTTCTGGGCCACACTGCCATAACATCTGTCTGTCCTGAGCAGAACCCCTGGAAAAGTGTTTTCTTGGGGGCTTTGTGGGTTTTGATCATGAGCAGCTTGAAAAATGAAAACATTTGAATTATTTCTGCCTTGTGCAATCAAGACTTCTTGGCTGAAAATTAACTTTTCTATGCGAGAGTGGGTTTTTTTGAAGTAAGAAAAAATAGAAATTAATTTTTTTGCCTGGCAAAGCAATAAGCAATAAGGAAGTAACTGAATTTATATACAGGAAGTCTGGCTCCTTGAAGACAACTTCTCCCTGTCTGGAAAATAGAAATGTTCCTTATTTTAGAAGAAAATGATGCTTTGTTTGAAAATCTCCTCCAAAGAGGTGATCAATACTATGACAGTGAACGACTCTGCTTTCTGTCAGTGTTACAACTAAGATTTTATAGTTCAATGTAATTAAATTTATCTAGTTCAGTAATTAATGATAAAATGTAATTAAATGATAAAATAGAAAATAGAAATGTTCCTCATTTTAAGAGAAAATGATGCTTTGTTTGAAAATCTCCTCCAAAGAGGTGATCAATACTATGACAGTGAACGACTCTGCTTTCTGTCACTGTTACAACTAAGATTTTATAGTTCAATGTAATTAAATTTATTTAGTTGGGTAATTAATGATAAAATGTAATTAAATGATAAAATAGAAAATAGAAATGTTCCTCATTTTAAGAGAAAATGATGCTTTGTTTGAAAATCTCCTCCAAAGAGGTGATCAATACTATGACAGTGAATGACTGCTTTCTGTCACTGTTACAACTAAGATTTTATGTATTATGTAATTAAATGTATTGAATTATGTAATTAATAATCAAATGTAATTTAATGGTAAAATAGAAATGTTCCTCATTTTAAGAGAAAATGATGCTTTGTCTGAAAATCTCCTCCAAAGAGGTGATCAATACTATGACAGTGAACGACTCTGCTTTCTGTCAGTGTTACAACTAAGATTTTATAGTTCAATGTTGTTGGAACCCAGGAACTGAGAATTCCAGACTCTCTGTGCTGCCAGGCTCTGACCCCCAGGAGAACACTGCACTGACCTGAGGGCCTGGAGAAGCTTCCAGAATGGAATGACAGAACTGGGATTGTGGGTGTGCAGTTTGGATAGAAGTGTGTGATATCACAGGGTGGGAAACTCAGAGTTTAAGGGTTTAGAATGCAGTAATGGATATAAAGCAAGATGGAGGGTTTAGGGTGGAGGCTGCTCCTTCTTCACCTTCTTCTCCATGGCTTTGGGTGGTTTTGTGTCATTGGATAAAGCCCACATTGTGGGCACGGGTGGTTGGGTATTGGGTTAAAAGTGGAAATAATTGAGGTATCACTTCTTAATTGGGTAGTTTAGCCTTAAAAGACCTTGCAGAGAAAGACAGTGAGCCACTTTGTACCTTGTTTTATTAATTCTTGCCTCACTGGGAAAAGACCTCCAAGAGCATAAGGTTAGTTTGTATCCGCCAATTATTGCCATTTTTTTCTTGGCCTTGCTCTCCAAAGGGCAATACCACATCTGGTCTCTGTTTTGCATTGCCAGGGTCTGGGTACATCCTGGAGTGTCACTCATAATCACCCGTCACTCAGCAACCAGCCCACAGACCTCTGGTTCTAACAACTGGGGGAAGGAGAAGAGAAGAGAGGAGAAGAGAAGAGAAGAGAAGAGAAGAGAAGAGAAGAGAAGAGAAGAGAAGAGAAGAGAAGAGAAGAGAAGAGAAGAGAAGAGAAGAGAAGAGAAGAGAAGAGAAGAGAAGAGAAGAGAAAGAAAAGAGAACATTAGATTCAGCTGGACATTCTCACACAGCCCAAAAGTCACCTTTTAAATCATGCATTAGAAAGAAGTAGTTCCTTTTCCTGGGTCACACATAAATTAATGCTTTCCTCACATAACTGCTCTGCAAAGGGGTTTTATTTTTGCAGCTGCATTTTTTGCACCAGGTACCAATGCAAGTCCCATTCCCACACCCTCTAAATGAAGCCAGTTCCCTTTTGCCAGCCGTGGTGGCTCCAGGAGAGGAAGGACCATTTCCACGGCTGTCACTCACCTCCCCTTCTGGGCCACACTGCCATAACATCTGTCTGTCCTGAGCAGAACCCCTGGAAAAGTGTTTTCTTGGGGGCTTTGTGGGTTTTGATCATGAGCAGCTTGAAAAATGAAAACATTTGAATTATTTCTGCCTTGTGCAATCAAGACTTCTTGGCTGAAAATTAACTTTTCTATGCGAGAGTGGGTTTTTTTGAAGTAAGAAAAAATAGAAATTAATTTTTTTGCCTGGCAAAGCAATGAATAAGGAAGTAACTGAATTTATATACAGGAAGTCTGGCTCCTTGAAGACAACTTCTCCCTGTCTGGAAAATAGAAATGTTCCTTATTTTAGAAGAAAATGATGCTTTGTTTGAAAATCTCCTCCAAAGAGGTGATCAATACTATGACAGTGAACGACTCTGCTTTCTGTCACTGTTACAACTAAGATTTTATAGTTCAATGTAATTAAATTTATCTAGTTCAGTAATTAATGATAAAATGTAATTAAATGATAAAATAGAAAATAGAAATGTTCCTCATTTTAAGAGAAAATGATGCTTTGTTTGAAAATCTCCTCCAAAGAGGTGATCAATACTATGACAGTGAACGACTCTGCTTTCTGTCACTGTTACAACTAAGATTTTATAGTTCAATGTAATTAAATTTATTTAGTTGGGTAATTAATGATAAAATGTAATTAAATGATAAAATAGAAAATAGAAATGTTCCTCATTTTAAGAGAAAATGATGCTTTGTTTGAAAAGCTCCTCCAAAGAGGTGATCAATACTATGACAGTGAATGACTGCTTTCTGTCACTGTTACAACTAAGATTTTATGTATTATGTAATTAAATGTATTGAATTATGTAATTAATAATCAAATGTAATTTAATGGTAAAATAGAAATGTTCCTCATTTTAAGAGAAAATGATGCTTTGTCTGAAAATCTCCTCCAAAGAGGTGATCAATACTATGACAGTGAACGACTCTGCTTTCTGTCAGTGTTACAACTAAGATTTTATAGTTCAATGTTGTTGGAACCCAGGAACTGAGAATTCCAGACTCTCTGTGCTGCCAGGCTCTGACCCCCAGGAGAACACTGCACTGACCTGAGGGCCTGGAGAAGCTTCCAGAATGGAATGACAGAACTGGGATTGTGGGTGTGCAGTTTGGATAGAAGTGTGTGATATCACAGGGTGGGAAACTCAGAGTTTAAGGGTTTAGAATGCAGTAATGGATATAAAGCAAGATGGAGGGTTTAGGGTGGAGGCTGCTCCTTCTTCACCTTCTTCTCCATGGCTTTGGGTGGTTTTGTGTCATTGGATAAAGCCCACATTGTGGGCACGGGTGGTTGGGTATTGGGTTAAAAGTGGAAATAATTGAGGTATCACTTCTTAATTGGGTAGTTTAGCCTTAAAACACCTTGCAGAGAAAGACAGTGAGCCACTTTGTACCTTGTTAGTGAAATACTGCAGAACTCACTGCTGTGAGACTGCAACACAGATAAGAAAACATAAACATCCAAGGCTGAAATCACATCTCGAGTGCCTTCAACCCTGACCTCGACAGAGGTAGAAAAAAGAAGCCAAGAACCAGCAGAGCGTAATTAAATGACAAAACAGTGTTTATCCTCTAGCTTCTCTCCCAGAGCAGGCAGTATTTTGGGAAGAACGGGGAAAGGCTCACTGTCATCCATGGGCTTGAAGGTGAGGGTGACCCAGGGGGAGCGCAGCCGGCCCGCCTCGGCCCGCAGCCGCAGCACGTAGCTGCCGTAGGGTGACAGCGAGGACAGGTCACACTGGGGCAGCCTCGGGTGTGTCCTCAGGGTCTCATAGGTGTCCCCGGGGTAGTAGATGCTGCAGGGAACAGAGACAGATGGTAATTCCAACTGCCTAAAGGGCTTTCAGGTAGCAAAGCTGTTAATGCCAGCAGTTTGCGCTTGTGGATGTGGAAATGTTTCCCCTGTGTATAAGACTGGCACTAGGGATTTTACAGCCGTCTATAAATCCATGATAAACGTAAGGATTAAATGATAAACTGAAGAATTAAAATTCCAACTCTGTAAAAAATGCCCATTTCCTGGCAGGGTCACAAGAGTGCACTCAGCAGACAGGAGTTCAGAGAACCAGCAAACACACAGCCAGTGCCACAGCCAGGAAATGCTGTCCCAGGGGGACTCTGCTCAGAGCTGTCTCCAGGATTTGCACAAGAGGAAAAGCCAGAGAAAACAGGGCTGGGGAGTGACCAGGAGCTGCTCATGGAACAGAACCACAGAGGGTTAAAGGGACCCTAAATCCCACCCAGTGCCACCCTGCTATGGCAGGGACACCTTCCACCATCCCAGGCTGCTCCAGCCCCAGTGTCCAACCTGGCCTTGATCAATACATGATTTAATAGATTATATTTAATATATTTTATTCTTTCTGCTCTGCATCAACAGCCTGCCCAGAAATGTACTGATCAAGGGACCGTGGCTACAGAACCCAGAAAAATCTTCTGTCAACTAAGCATGAAGAGAAGGCTCTGGGCGAGGCTCAGAGCTCCTTCCAGTGCCTGGAGGGGCTTCTAAAGAAGAGGGAGAATTTTTATATGGGCAGAGAGTGCCAGGGAATGGCTGCCAGTGCCAGAGGGCAGGGCTGGGTGGGATCTGGGGAATGAGGAATTGTTCCCTGGCAGGGTGGGCAGGGGCTGGGCTGGAATTCCCAGAGCAGCTGGGGCTGCCCCTGGATCCCTGGCAGTGCCCAAGGCCAGGCTGGACACTGGGGCTGGAGCAGCCTGGCACAGGGGAAGGTGTCCCTGCCATGGCAGGGTGGGATGGGATGGGATGAGATGGGATGGGATGGGATGGGATGGGATGGGATGGATGGGATGGGATGGATGGGATGGGATGGGATGGGATGGGATGGGATGGGATGGGAGCACCTCAGAGATCAGGGAAGGACAAACACTCAGCACAACCAGGTCTCTTCAATCACAGAAGGGAAAAACCACACCCAGAGCCAATAACAGCCAGTGTCAGAACGTGTCTGTGGTTCCAAAACAAACAGCACAAAGCTGCCTTGGGTGTGAATGCCCAGGAAATGCCTCTGCCCTGTCCATCAGCTCAGCAGAGAAGCCTCTCACAGGCTGAAATGAAGGGACAGCTCCTGGGACAGCAAAGTCCCTGGAATAAAGGGACAGGCTGTGCTCTGCAGAGGACACAAGCCCCAGGCACACAGAGCTGCAGGGTGTGAATGAAAGCAGCCCAGCCCAGCCCCACCTCTTGGACTGGACAGTGTAGGTGAGGTTCCCTCTGGAGAACCTTGGTGCATCCCACTGCAAGGTGCTCTGAAGGTTGACTGAAGTAATTCTCACGTTCCGGGGCACTGGGACCATTCCAGAAGCTGTGGGAGGAACCAGAACCAACATTTCAGTGTTTGCTCCAGCACTTGTCACTCATCCTAAATTTAAATGCAGCCTCTGCCTTGCCTTTGGTGCGTATTCAAAACCAGAGGCCGATTAAATTAAATTTAAATGCTGATGCCTCTCCTGCCTCCTTATGCAACAAAACAAATTACTGGCACCAGTGGCTTCCAGTAAGAGCTTGTGACAGGGACATTGTTGTGCGTGACTGAGCTGGTGCTGCCCAGCACTCGGGGCATGAGCTCTCCCTCAGACTGAGAGAAGGGCATGGGGATTGATAAACTTCAGCACCTCTGAAGGTAAGAGAGTTATTACATGTAATTAAATGTAATTAAGGATCACTAATCAGCATTATTCACAAGTGACAAAACCCCAGTTGTTTTCCTTTCTTGGAACTGAATAAAAGAAACCCTAAACTGGTGTAAAGCATCAATGAAAAGTCATTACTGTTATGATTTAATTATTCTTACATAATTGTAGGTATTGAGACCAAAATAGCAAAGATTCCAGCCCATTACTGCACCACCAATGAGCAATGCAAACAAACCCTGCCAGAGCAGAGCAGTGCTTAAATGTCACAGGAGGCACACCCGATGAGAGACTCTAAAATAAATAACACATTTTGCATGTCTGTGGTTCACAGAATCATCAGGGCTGGAAGAGACCTTAAAGGTCACCCTGTGTCACCCCAGCAGCCCATAATCACCCCTGAGCTGTGTCCCCAGCTGATGCAGACACAAATGAAATTCCTGTGTCAGTCACCCCCCCTCTGGCAGGCAAGAGTTTAAAATCTGAACCTGGCTTAAACAAAACCGGTTTCAGACTCTGGTCCTGGAGTGTGACCCTTGCACCCAACAAATAAATCAAACACAGTCCACATCACAAATACACAAGTTCAAATCACAGGTGGGCTTGGGCTAGGAGGGCCCTCAGAGCCCACCCAGTGCCACCCTGCCATGGCAGGGACACCTTCCCTGTGCCAGGCTGCTCCAGCCCCAGTGTCCAGCCTGGCCTTGGGCACTGCCAGGGATCCAGGGGCAGCCCCAGCTGCTCTGGGAATTCCATCCCAGCCCCTGCCCACCCTGCCAGGGAACAATTCCTCATTGCCCAGATCCCATCCAGGCCTGCCCTCTGGCACTGGGAGCCACTCCCCTTGATCCTGGCATTCCACCCCTTGTCCAAAGTCCCTCTGATTTCTCTTGGAGCACTGCCCCGGCTCTGAGGATGAGGTGAGGCAGACATGCAAATTCCCAGGAAAAATCACATTTCCTTGCCAGGCTCTCTTCCCTCACAGTGCTGCCTACCTGAGGAGCCTCCAGGTAAATTGCTTCATTGGGCACTGTGGATCTGAAGAGATGAGGAAATATTTCTGGGGTTTCAGGTTTGTGCACAGCCCTCCCAGCCCAGGCAGTGCCAGCTGTGCCCCATGGCCACCTTGTCCCCAGCCCAGAGCACTCAGTGCCACCCCCAGGGGACACCTGCAGGGATGGGCACTGCAAAGCTCCCTGGGCAGCCCCTGCCAAGGCCTGAGCACCCTTTCCATGGGCAAATTCCTGCTGCTGGCCCAGCTGAGCCTGCCCTGGCCCAGCCTAAGGCCGTTCCCTCTGCTCCTGTCCCTGTTTCCCGGCTGTCCCCCCTACAGACAGTGACACGGGGCTCTCCGGCCGCGGTTTCGCCGCCACGCCCGCCTTTCCTCGCCCGGACGTGCAGTGTCCCTCTCCCGGCAGCACCGGCCCCGTTTCCCAGCACAGACTGAGCCCTGGGCCAATAACACGCACAGAGCCGGGCGGGCTGGCCCCGCTGTCCCTTCTGTCCCTTCAGGGCGCTCCCGGGGCCGGCTTGGTTCCTCACGGCCCCCGAGGAGCCGCGCCGGGCTCGGGGCAGTGCGGAGACGCCGCCGCCTCAGGCGCCCCTCGCTGCCGCTCCCCCCGCGGGCACCGCCGCTCGCCGTGCCCGCGGCCAGGCGACACCAGGAGCTCGCTCCGTTCCTCCGTTCCTCCGTCCCTCCGCGGTGGACTCACCCAGGAGCAGCAGCCCGCTGCAGAGCGCGGCCCGCAGCGCGGCCGCCATGGCGGCTCCCTCAGCCGCGGCGGGGCCGCCGCGCCATGGCAGCGGGAGCGGGGCCGCCCCGGCACCCCGAACCCTTCCGCTTCTCCACGGAGCGGGCACCGGGAGCCCCGGCACCCCGAATCCTTCCGCTTCCCCACGGGGCGGAGCGGGCACCGGGAGCCCCGGCACCCCGTATCCTTCCGCTTCCCCACGGGGCGGAGCGGGCACCGGGAACCCCGGCACCCCGAACCCTTCCGCTTCCTCACGAGGCGGAGCGGGCTGCGGGCACGGCGGCGGCCCCGGAGCTCAGGTCTCCCCTTCACACACCGGCCCTCTTTCCTCTCACATGCCGCTCTGTTCCCCCTCACACGCCGGCTCTCTTTCCTCTCACACGCCGGCTCCCCTCACACACTGCGGCTGCTCACGGCGGGGATTTTAAATGTCATAACAAAATTTTACTATGAATCAGTAATTGTACAAAATTATACAAAAATAAATTCAAGAAGTGTATTAATGCCTCGATCTGCTCTTTTGTCAGCTGAGTATTCCCGTCTCTGCCCCCATTATTCCACTTGATCAGCATTCTCTGTACAAATACGGCATCCAGCCAGCAGAACAGGTTTCACTGTAAATCCAGTAAGAGACATAAAGAATAAAAAATACTGTAACAGTGGCCTGGATGGGAGACCAGCCTTCCCCTGTGCCAGGCTGCTCCAGCCCCAGTGTCCAGCCTGGCCTTGGGCACTGCCAGGGATCCAGGGGCAGCCCCAGCTGCTCTGGCAATTCCATCCCAGCCCCTGCCCACCCTGCCAGGGAACAATTCCTCATTGCCCAGATCCCATCCAGCCCTGCCCTCTGGCACTGGCAGCCATTCCCTGGGTGCTGTCCCTCCAGCCCTTGGAAACTGTCTCTCCCCACCCTCACAGGGAAAAATCTCTAATCCAGAAGTGCCCCTCAGTTTGAAGCCATTCCCTCTTGTCCTGTCCCTCCATCCCTTGTCCAAAGCTCCACCTTTGGAGGCCCTTTAGGCACAGAAGGGGCTCCAAGGTCTTTCTGGATCCTTCTCCAGACAAACACCCCCAGCTCTTTTGGCAGGAGCCCACACTCACAGGATATTAATGAAAGGACAAAGATCTGTGTGTTCAGTCCAGAAATAAGAGTTGAACAACACCAATTCCTATGTTATAAAGTAAAAGCAGTTCTCCCTTCTTCATCTCCTCATGTACCCCGTTACTTGCTCTGTGTCTGAGTCCAAAGAGTCGCTTTCCTCAGAGCAGCAGGAGGAGTTTTGCCACTCATGGAAGTCACTAGAACAAGGCGCTCCCTGCTCACTTCCCGTGTCCTCCAGCAGCTTTTCCTCCAGAGCATGAGCACAGTGCCAGTCACCCGCATCCTCCCGGGCTGGGGGAGCAGCTGCAGGGCTGTGCCCGTCCTGCTCCAGGGTTCCCAGCAGCACCGTGTGCAGGCTGATGGTGAAGCACTCACCGTCCCCCTGGGGCTCACAGCTGTCCCCAGACAGAGGGCTCAGGAACTCGCTCCTCGTGTCCCTGTCCCCTTCAGGGCGCCCCTGGGGCTCCTGTGGCTCAGCAGCTGGCGTGTCCCCAGCCTGGCTGCTGCTGTGCTCACAGGTGCTGCTCACCGAGTACTGCCCCAGGCTGCTGGGGGTGTCACAGCCCTGGGGGACACTGCCCCTGCCCAGCCTGCCCCGCCTCGTGTAGTTGTGGTCACACAGGGCACTGCTGTCACTGTCACTGTCACTGTCAGTGTCATCACTGGCACTGCCTCTGCAGCCCCTGGCCTTGCTTTTCACCTCTCTGGGGATGATCTCCACAGAGGCCACTGTTTCTGACTCAGACACCCAAGGGGAGTAGGCCAACTTCCTGATGCATGCCTGGAAGAGTAAAAGGAATTAAATCAATCAGCCACTTTTGCACATCTGCATACAACACCATGAGAAAAAAAACCCAAATAACCTCCAGCCACGAGGCTGTCAAACAAATGATTCCTTCTGTGCCACAGTTTGGGCTTTTTCAGCAGAGTTCAGGGTATCTAGGATCATTCCTTCTTTTCCATTCCTGAACATCACAGAACCCCTGAAAGGTTTGAGTGGGAAGGGATCTTAAAAAGTCATCCACATTGCAATCCCCTGCCATGGCAGGGACACCTTCCCCTGTGCCAGGCTGCTCCAGCCCCAGTGTCCAGCCTGGCCTTGGGCACTGCCAGGGATCCAGGGGCAGCCCCAGCTGCTCTGGGAATTCCATTCCAGCCCTGCCCACCCTGCCAGGGTGAGCTGAGTCTTGTCACTCTCACAACTCTTGCAGTCACCTCTATCAAGGCTGAGCAGTTTTAATGTCCTTTAGAAATTATCTTTTGAAGCAATTTGCACCATTTTAACATCCCAAGCCCTGTCTTCCCTCTGCACTTCAGGGGATTATTCAATATTTGAAGCATTCATCATGTTGACAATAAAAAATAAATAAACCTTAGACACTCCTTAGTAACGTGTTCAGCAATTGTTGAGATGTGAAAGTGACACAGCAAAAAAAAAAAAAAAAAACATGAGGAGAAAGTCTTAGAAAAAAGTGATACCCATCTGCTCTGGGTATGTTTGTGGAAAATGAAAAATATTTATGCTGAAAAACCCTAAAGAATTAAATGTCAAAGAAGTCAGAGACTGTAAAAAATAAAACAAGCAAGAAAAGATAAAAGATGGAAACAAGAAATCTTGTTATTTGTGATTGAATTTAAATGGAGAATTTAATTCACAAATAATTGTGCCACTAAATTTCAATCTATGGAAATAAAAAACTGGCTCTGGACTGGCTCCCTCTGTGCTTGATCACAGAGAAAGTCCAAGAGAGATTATTATTATTAAACAGTGGAACAACTTCTCCTCACAGGGCAGCTTCTCCAGCCCTCTGCTCACCCCCTGGCCCCGCTCTGGGCCACACCTTTCATGTCCTGTGGGGACCAGAACTGGGTGGAATATTCCCTGAGCATGGTGGGATGATCCTCTCTGTTAGTAACTTGTCACAGAAATAGCAAGAAATGGTTTTGAATATTTGTTCTGAAGATCAGACAAAACTTAGCAGCATCTTTGCCTGAGGTAAACTGCAAACACAAACATGGTGTGCTCTTACAGAACTTGTACCTAAAGCACAGGATTGGAAGTTCCAGCTGTTAGACTTGCCCCTGGCAGCCAGAAAGGGCAGAGCTGAGATGTTACATACCAAGGTCTGAGGAAGGGAAAACTTCGGGAGGATAAAACCTGCTCTATGCGCACACTTCAGGACTGCAGCAATTATCAGTGAAACACAGACAGCACCTGCCACTGCAGCTTCGTGATACCCTGGAGAGAACAAAATCAAATGAACACACGTGGAGGAAGTGTCCCACCACATTTCAGATGTCACAGTAACAAGAGCTATTAGGAATCACCAATAATTTTGGTGAGAAGGGACCTGTGAAAGTCAATTTCAAAACAAGACCAAATCCCAAATCAGCTCCAGGAATTACAAAAGAAGTGACTCCATCTTTCTGCAGACCTAGTGGAGATCTGTATGGCTCAGGGGATAGCCAAGAGATTTGTTGCCCCAAAGTGCTGGGGCTTTGTATTTCACTCCTAAATACCCACAGTGGTTCTCTCTTGGAATGTTTCTCTCTGCAGGGAGGCTCTGAGGGACAGCACCAGGGAGCAGCTGGGGCTGGCCCAGGAGGGATTTAGGTTGGATTTTAGGGAAAGGCTCTTCCCCAGAGGCTGCTGGCACTGCCCAGGGAATGGGCACGGCCCCGAGGCTGCCAGAGCTCCAGGAGCCTTTGGCCAGCGCTGCCAGGGATGCCCAGGCTGGGATTTTGGGGCTCTGGGCAGGGCAGGGGTGGCACTGGAGGGTCCCTGGGGGTCCCCTTCAGCTGAGGACATTCCATGACTCTGTGATCACTTGTTTTTTAGGACTGAACTATAAATGTCCCTGCACCAAAAGAACACTTTGCACACCCAGCCCAGCCCCCTGCCCCACAGCTCCATTACCTTGCTGAGCCTCCGAGTCTGTAGTGACACATTTCCAGGGGGAGGGGACAGAATTCTTGTTCAGGGATGCAGTGACCCCCACAGACACACAGTAATTCCTGCTGGGATACAACTCCTCAATGAGAACACTAAACACCTCTGCAGTGGTTCTCTGCCGTGGCCTCTGCCATGAAAAGCAATGGTTTGAAGTCAGTGATAGGCTGAAAAGAGCCCCTGCTCACCCCTCCACACCTGCACCCTGCAGTGAAAGCAAGCTCAGATTCTGCTGGCCATGGTCTCTCTTTTCTTCTAAGAAATCTATTTCTATCTTTTCTTTTGCTTCTACCCACATATTTGTTTTTGGGAACCTGTTAACCATCAGAGCCATTTCACACCCTCTGTGTTCCTCCCCTAAAGCACAACTATTCCCAAATTTCCTGACCTTGTGCTCTCCATCCTGTGATTTCAGGGTGATATCAAAATCCATCTCTTCATAGATATCAATTAAAGACAGCAGCTTCCCCTTGTCTCTGAAGTGAGAGGATGGCAGCTTTATGGTGACATTGAGGCAATTTGGACAGGAAGTGATAGTCACTTCTGGTGGTCCCAGAATTGCTGTTGGAAAACAAGAAAGAGGAAAAAATTATAGAAAAAAATACACATTTTATCCAGCACCAATTCCATTTCTGTGATGCACACAGAGCTGGCTCAGCACACTCCAGAGAGATCACTGCTGTAAATCCACAAGGCCTTGCAACATTTAACTTCCACAGCCAGACCATCATCTCCCACATGGCCAGACTTTAAAGGAAAAGGAGTGGAAGGAAGAAACAGAAAGGGAACAGAGGTTTTGCTCCAGCTTCAGAGATGTGATCTTTGTATCTACACGAGATTAAAGCTGAGGTTAAAGTACAGAATAGAATCCTGGAATGGGTTGGGTTGGGAAGGACCTCACAGCCCATCCAGTGCCATGGCAGGGACACCTTCCCCTGTCCCCAGTGTCCAGCCTGGCCTTGGGCACTGCCAGGGATCCAGGGGCAGCCCCAGCTGCTCTGGGAATTCCATCCCAGCCCTGCCCACCCTGCCAGAGAACAATTCCTCATTGCCCAGATCCATTTAACCCTGCCCTCCTCCAGCTGAAAGCCATTCCCCCTTTTCCTGTCCTCTTTATTAAACCAGCTGCTGAGGGACTGCAGGGCTCCTCCTCAGGATGCTCTCCTTGTTTTCCTTGTCCCACTCTCCTCATTCCCTACAGTGTTCCCTCATTTCTGACTCTGGAAGGGGACACAGCAGCTGCCTCTGCTGAGCTCAGAGGAAACATCAGCAGTTCATCCTCCACAGCTCTCCAGCTGTTCCTCAACATCTGTTAGCTCCAAACTCTATTTTAAGCAGAGCCAAGGGTGAAGCCACCTCTGGCAATAAAGACAAATATCTTCAGCAGGGAAAAGGGCAGATTGATGGATGAACAATCCATCTCTTCCCTACACCTGGTGCAGACCTGGCACTTTTTAACTCAACATTCACCATCTGAACACACTATTTGAACAATACAAATGCTGTTCTTTAAGTTATGTACCTTATACAGTCAAGAGATTTTTACTTGGTGTTTGTCAATGCACAGCTGTATTTCCTTTATAATTATAATGTATTTATTTCAAAACCAGAGCCTCATTCCTTTAGCAGAGCTACTAATCAGGACTACTCATTTTAGAAACTTATGCATGTACTTAAGGCTTTGTAACAGATATATGAAATACCACATACAAATAGCCACCAACACAGTCACTGTGGAGTCTTACAGCAAAGGCAGCAGAACATAATTCAGGCATCAGCTGCTAATGAAAACTACAAAAAGAAGAAATGCAGAGAGAGAACTTACTCTCAGTGAGTGGCACAAAACGCAGCACAGAAGAATTGAGCACCTGAGCTCCTCCAGTGCTCTGAACAAGTGCAGAATACTCAGTGGATGTGTCCTTGAACTCCTCTGTCAGCTCACAGGAGAGCTGGGCAATGCCTGAGCACTGCTGAGCACTCATCCAGCTCTGGCTTCTGCACAAAAGAGCAAAACAGTCTCAATTCTCTGATGTGAGAAGGCATGGCAGTGTGAGGACACCATTTCTCAGGGAAAAAACCCAACAAAAACAAACAAAAAAACAAAAATCCCCCCCCCCCCAAAAAAAAAAAAAAAACAAACAAAAAACCCCCCCCCCCCCCAAAAAAAAAAAAAAAACAAACAAAAAACCCCCCCCCCCCCCAAAAAAAAAAAAAAAACAAACAAAAAACCCCCCCCCCCCCCAAAAAAAAAAAAAAAACAAACAAAAAACCCCCCCCCCCCCCAAAAAAAAAAAAAAAACAAACAAAAAACCCCCCCCCCCCCCAAAAAAAAAAAAAAACCACAAACACCCCAAAAAACCCAGAAAACAAACAAAAAAAAACTTAAGAAAAAACCCCAGGAAAACAGAGAAAAATCTCAGCCTTACTATTTTCACAGAATCCCCAAATCCCTGGGGCTGGCAGAGCCCTCCCAGCCCAGGCAGTGCCAGCTGTGCCCCATGGCCACCTTGTTCCCAGCCCAGAGCACTCAGTGCCACCCCCAGGGGACACCTGCAGGGATGGGCACTGCAAAGCTCCCTCCTCTTTGGGTCAATAACAGTAAAAGCAGAATTTGTGCCTTATTTTGTGTGACCTGCCTGCGGTCTCTGTAGAGAACGTTGTAGGATGCTGGCACAGCTGGGTCATGTTCTGCCTGCCAGGACAAAATGTGCTGGAAATTGTGGGAGTCCATCTGGAGGTTGTAAGGAAGCCCCTCCAAAATTCTTTCTAGAAAGGAAAAACATAACAAAATCCCAGCCCCCAACAAAGAACTCTGAGTTTTGCAACCATTCTAATAAATAAACCCATTTAGAGCAGCTCAGGATTTGCCCCAAAAAGCAGCCACAGGGGAGAGCTCAGCACAACAGACACAGCAATGCAAAGCACTGTGCACATGGATTACACTTCTCTCAATTCTTTCTCCAAAAAGCATGAAGTTCCAAAATGATGATTGGTGAGGATGTGCAAGCTATGAAATGTGTTAGGAAAAGCATTTTAAAGATGGTAACACTCTTACCAGGCTGGCTGCAAACAGCTGCAGACAGAAATGTGAGGCACACTGGAAAGTGAAACTCTGTGTTAATGCATTGGTGCATCCACAGCACCTGACTTGTATTGCAAGTATTCATTTGCAACAATTGGCTTCACCCCAGTACTCCCTGGTGGAACTGTTACTTTCTTTCACAACTTCCTAGACTTCCCTACACTCCCAGAGCCTGGGAGAAGGGTCCATGAACCTGGGGCTCTGAGGAGGAGCTGGGTCCTGGATCCCTATGCTGCTCCCTCCATGTGATGTTCAAGGCTCAGTGTCAGCAAAAGCACCCAAGATGTTCTCATCAAATGATGTCTCACAGGACTCTGACTGTATTTCAAACACCTTTTCAAGCCATCCCAAGAATTTTAGAACTGATCTGGGAAAATATTCCATTATTGCTTGAGTCACCCTCACGGATCCCAGACAGGTTTGTGTTGGAAGGGACCTCAAATCCCATCCAGTGCCACCCCTGCCATGGCAGGGACACCTTCCCCTGTGCCAGGCTGCTCCAAGCTGGCCTTGGGCTCTGCCAGGGATCCAGGGGCAGCCACAGCTTCCCTGGCAATCCTGCCATTCCAGAGGTTCCTACATCTTCCTGTAAAACCTCCCCAGGAGGCTGTGATCCACCCTGCCTCTCACTGCACCCAGGATTCTTTCCCTTGACCGACCCAGCTTCTCACTGCTCCCATCTTTTCAACACAGTGCTTCAAAACACTTGAAGTTTTTGTTCTGACTCTATTTTTTTTTTTTCTCAAGAACCTTCAGCCTCCCTTCTGCTTTGAGGGCAACGAGGAGAAACTTCCTGTTCTTGTTTTAAGGCACTTTGTGGTCATGCCTCTGACTGAGGAGATGCTGACTCCCACACTCAGCTGGCCAAAGCAGTCACTACTTTAATTCCAAACACATGTCTTCTCTGTTTGACATGAATTCCACGGGAAAATCTGGAGAGTTCCTTCCTTGTCTTCCCTAAAACTCTCTTTTCTCTTGACCTGTTGTGTTAAAAAGATGTGCCACAGTCAGCATGACTGTGAAAAGAGAAGAGAAATCTGAGCCTTGAACTAGAAAATTTAAACAATCTTTATGGAAATCCACAAATAATGGGTTTAACTGCAGCTAAATGCAGAACAATGGATTTCTCATGAGGTAGGAGATCACCCATTTGAAAAAAAAAAACCATCCAGTGGGGATAAATAAAGCAATATTTTAACTATTATTATTATTATCTGAACACAAGCTCAGACTTGTAATAAACTGTGTCTGCTGAATTGCTGCTGTATTCCAGTTAGCATTATTTGAGTTCTCAATGCCTCTTCTCTACCCAAACCAAATTCCTTTCAGTTCACAGCTCAAACTGCCTCTGAACTTTGTTTCAACAAACAAAGTTAGCAAAGGAAGTTGAACAGTTGCAAAACTGTTTGTGTTACACTCTTACAAAGGAGACAGAGCCAAGACAAACATCTGAGAACAAGTAACTGGGAAGATTCAGCCTGGGGAAATACACATGGTCTGGGAACTGCATGGGGAATCTTCTTCAGCATCTTGGCCAATTTGAGCTTCCACTGCCCCTGGCAGTGCCCCAGGCCAGGCTGGTCCCGGGCTGGAGCAGCCTGGCACAGGGGAAGGTGTCCCTGCCATGGCAGGGTGGATGGGCTTGCAGGTCCCTCCAGCCCAAACCACCCTGGGGTTCTGGGATGATGATCTGGCCCATTTTACAGAATTAAAGGATCCTAACCTAACAAAGCCCCTTCTCACAAGTACAGCTCAGCCAAACTGAGCTTGCTTCACCTGCTAAGCCAGAAACTGAGGAGTGCTGGAAAGACTTAGAATAAAAAATAAAAACCCTCCTATCTGAGTTTCTGAATGGGCAGGGAGGCAGAGCCATGGAATGGAATGGCCTGGACTGGACCTCAAATCCCAGCCAGTGCCACCCTGCCATGGCAGGGACACCTTCCCTGTGCCAGGCTGCTCCAGCCCCAGTGTCCAGCCTGGCCTTGGGCACTGCCAGGGATCCAGGGGCAGCCCCAGCTGCTCTGGGAATTCCATCCCAGCCCCTGCCCACCCTGCCAGGGAACAATTCCTCATTGCCCAGATCCCATCCAGCCCTGCCCTCTGGCACTGGCAGCCATTCCCTGGCTCCTGTCCCTCCATCCCTTGTCCCCAGTCCCTCTGCAGCTCTCCTGGAGCCCCTTCAGGCCCCGCCCGGGGCTCTGAGCTCTCCCTGGAGCTTCTCCTCTCCAGGTGAGCACCCCCAGCTCTCCCAGCCTGGCTCCAGCCCCTGCTCATGGCTTAAGAACAGAAAGGAGCATGCAGGGGTAACACAGGAGATCCTTATTCTGGGAATTTCTCTGGGGAGAGGTCCACAATACCATAATGGTCTCTTACTTCATTAACTCAGCAGGATTATTAATGAATTAATGAGCCCCCTGCAGTGCTGCTGTCTACCCCAAAGGCTGAGGCACTTACCAAGCTGACAGAGAGGCACTGGCACATCCATTGGGGTGCTCGTGGAGATTAACAAGCAAACCCCTCTGCTTGCAAAAGGAACATTTTGCTTCTGTTCCTACAAATACATGAAAAACAACACATTTTACTAAATGATCACAGTGAATTGCCTTAGTAAATCACTTTTAATTAACCCAAAGTTTCTGTACAGACTTGTTTTACCCTCTCCAGTGTCTGAGGGAGGGCAGTGGTACTGGAAGAGTTACTGGGGGGCACTGATCTTTATCATTTTGTGGCATTTTCATGGCAACAGCACTTTCCTTTTTCCATGAGGAATGGGCTTCTACCACAGCAGAAACCACTGTACAACTATTTCTATGAGCTTTGCATTTAGACAGTATCTGAAAATTCAATGCCACTCACTCCAACTTCATTAATACAATGAAAACAAACTTTGTTTGGCTTTGTTTGAAATAAATTCATCACCATTGTAGGAATTGTTTCCAAAAAGGGAAAAGATCAACAGAGCACTTAGAAAAAATTAATTACAAAGAAGTTATGAATTTTGTTACAATTTTTTAATGCATAAAATCTATTAAAATAATCCTTCTCTTCACTGTTATTTTTTACTCTATTAAACATCCTCCTAATATTAATATCCACAAGACCTGGTTTTGAGTTAGCTGGGCAAAGGTGTATCTATTTCTAAAGAATCTTCCCCTCAAAAATTAACTGCTATTTCATTTAACATTATTTGCAAATACAACTGGAATTATTTTCTCTGAAAAACAACAGGTTTAAAATCATGCCAGAGCACACTCTGGCATGATTTTAAATATATATATAATATAATTAATATATTAAAATTCATATAATTCATATAATATATATGAATTAATATATACAATATATTCATATATAACCTTGTATATTCCTATACTAACACAGGACAGAAATAATCTGTTAAGTTCAGGTGAACTAAACCCCTTTATCTTAGAAATCAGTCTCCCTGTGCTCAGAGTTCTGGCAGGAGTGTAGGAAGGCACTGGGTAAATGTCAGGAACTTGGATCTGTACAACTGACAGCCCAGAGCCTCAGGGAATGCTCTCTTCCCCTCACTGTGTTCATCCATTCAAGCAGAAGCCATTCCAAGAGCAGCTGCTCCTGCAGGTTGGGATTTTCCAGGGTGTTCAAAGAGTTCCCTACAGGAGAAAGCCTTGGGGATGCAGGATTCACCTGGGAAATGATTTCCTTTCCCTGTTCACCCTTGCAGTGCACCCCAGGCCCTGCCCAGAGGGGTGTGCTGTGTGTACCTTGGATCCTTGCTGGCCATGCTGCAGGGACAACAACAATCCCACTCTGGGAATCACACCAGGCTCCCGGGTGCCTCTGGCTGCTGAACAAAGGAGTCTCCTACAGGAGGCATACTCAAAGCCACGTTACTTGTTCAGCACCTCCCACTGTCTGAGGAAATGTGATAAAATGTGTTCATCTCCAGGATTCCTGTCTAAAGCTGGATGTCCTCTGCAGATCTAACACTGCCAGGGAAATTCCAGGGGAAAGCCATTTCTGTCAGAACTCTGGTGAGCTTTTGCTACTCCTCCTCTTCAGAGCTGCAGCAATCCCTGTGGAGAAGCCATGGAAAGAGCACTGAGTGCAGCCCCTGAGGCCAGGCTGTGCCCACAGGAGCTGCCTGGAGCCCCAGTGCTCCCAGGGGACACTGGCACAGCACCCACAGCTGGAGCCCATGGGATCCCACACTGGCTGGGGCTGGAGGGACCCAAATCCCAGCCAGTGCCAGCCCTGCCATGGCAGGGACACCTTCCCCTGTGCCAGGCTGCTCCAGCCCCAGTGTCCAGCCTGGCCTTGGGCACTGCCAGGGATCCAGGGGCAGCCCCAGCTGCTCTGGGAATTCCATCCCAGCCCCTGCCCACCCTGCCAGGGAACAATTCCTCATTGCCCAGATCCCATCCAGCCCTGCCCTCTGGCACTGGCAGCCATTCCCTGGCTCCTGTCCCTCCATCCCTTGTCCCCAGTCCCTCTGCAGCTCTCCTGGAGCCCCTTCAGGCCCTGCCAGGGGCTCTGAGCTCTCCCTGGAGCTTCTCCTCTCCAGGTGAGCACCCCCAGCTCTCCCAGCCTGGCTCCAACCCTGGGATGAGTTTGGTAGCACTCAGGTTCAGGCTGGATGGGGCTATATTTTCTTCCAATCAGAAAAGAAAAAAATGCAGCTTTGAAGTTTTGAAAGTCAGTGCCTCATATTCAGAAAAGCTCTCCCCTGCTTCTCTGAAACAAGCAGATGGTCTATTTACTTACATAAATCAGCTTATGGGAATACTGAGAGAGGCTGACTAACAGCAGGGAAATCTGCAGAGGAACATTCTGAGCCTGCACAGGGACCTCTGGGACCACCCAGCCCAGCCCCCTGGCCAGGCAGGGTCACCTGCAGCAGTGACACAGGAACGTGCCCAGGGGTTTGGGATGTCTCCAGAGAGGGAGACTCCAGCCCCTGCCTGGGCAGCTGTTCCAGGGCTCTGCCCCTCCAGGGAAGGAAGTTCTCCCTCAGGCTGGGCTGGAATTGTTGTGTTTCAGTTCCTGGCCGTTGCTCCTCATCCTGCCACTGGCACCACTGAGCAGTCCTGGCACCATCCTGACACCCTTGGAGCTCTACAAAATCCTGAATATACCCGAGCCAGGGAACCCCACTGTGCCTGTAGCATTATTGCCACCCACAGCTGCTGGGAGACTTTGGATAAACCACTTGTAAGGATACGGAAATCACTTAACCTCAAAAACCCAAGGCCATTACCAACAGCCCTTTTCCCTTGGGCTGCCACAGTGCTGGGGAGGAGACAGCCCCAGGCTGGGCCAGGGCAGGCTCAGCTGGGCCAGCAGCAGGAATTTGCCCATGGAAAGGGTGCTCAGGCCTTGGCAGGGGCTGCCCAGGGAGCTTTGCAGTGCCCATCCCTGCAGGTGTCCCCTGGGGGTGGCACTGAGTGCTCTGGGCTGGGGACAAGGTGGCCATGGGGCACAGCTGGCACTGCCTGGGCTGGGAGGGCTGTGCCAGCCCCAGGGATTTGGGATCCACCCTAGGGACACACGGGGACCCTCGGGGGACACAGCAAACCACGCCTGAAACAAGGGGCGCTGCGAGAGCCGCTGTTCCTCCCAAACACCAGGCCTTGGTGCGATTCCCACACCCCCAGGCACTCCCAGGCTCAATGCAGCGAGCGGGACGCTGCCGAAGGCAAACCCGGCGGGGTTTTGGGGCTCCATGTGCGGTTCAAGGAGCCGGGCCCCACACGGCGCCAGCAGAGCGCTCCCGGGAGCCGCGGAGCCCTGCAGGAATGCCCGGACAGCGGCTCAGGCCGCTGCCCTCACCGAGGGAGGGAGCGCGGCCCCGCTCCCCTCAGGGAACCGCTCCATTGCCACCGCAGGGCCGCGCCCGGGGGGACACGACACCGCACACACCGCCACCTTCCAGCCGTACCTTGCGGCGGGGAATCCCCAGGGGCTCCGCTGCGGCTCCTCATCGCTCCTGACCGCTTCTATCGCCGCCCATCCATGCGAGGGAGCCCCATTGATCCCAGCACTGCCGCCCGCGCCACCGCCGAGCGGAAAATGGCGGCGGCGAAACGGCGCGGCGTTGGCCACACCCCCTCCACAGAGGCCACGCCCATGTGTCTCTAAACAACGCTCCCATGCTGTCGAACCACGCCCCAAACAGGCTCATGTCACGCCTCCATTCCGCAAGCCCCGCCCCTTTCCCCTACAGCCCCCGCCCATTTCCCCACAGGCCCCGCCCATTTCCCCACAGGCCCCGCCCAGCGGCGCTATGGCGGCGTCGTGAGGGTTGGCGCTCCGCCCAGACTCGCCGAAAGGCCTTTGCTGCCTTTAGTTCGGTTTTCGCCTTTATTTCCGCTCCTGCCTTTATTTCCGTTTCTGTCACTCGTCCGGGCCCGCTCCACCCCCGGCTCTGCGGTGCTCGCTGTGCGAGAGCTGCGGGGGCGGTGGCTGATCGCCTGCCTCGTTTATGGAATCAGAGCCGCAGCAGGTTTGGGCTAGAGGGACCTCAAATCCCAGCCAGTGCCATGGCAGGGACACCTTCCCTGTGCCAGGCTGCTGCAGCCCCAGTGTCCAGCCTGGCCTTGGGCACTGCCAGGGATCCGGGGACAGCCGCAGTTCCTGCGGTGTGAAGGGAAGGGCCCTGAGGGAGCTGCTCCGAGGGCGGCAGATCTGAGTCAGCAGTGCCCGGAGCCAGCAGGGACATCCCTGTCCTGGGGACACCTGGGGAAGGGTTTGTCCCACTCTGCTCTGTGGGGGGTCCCTGGGGGTCCCTTCAGCAGGCCTGGCACAGGGTGGGCAGTGAATCAGAGAATCCCAAAATATCCTGAGCTGAAGGGACCCACGGAGATCATCCAGTCCCACCCCAGCCCTGCCCACCCTCCCAGGGCGAAGCAGAACTCCTAATCACAGTTCTGCTGTCTCTGAACCTACCTTATACAGCTTCCCCAAAACCTTCTGATTTTTAAGATTCCCACATTCCTCATTCCCAGTATCCCATCCAGCCCTGCCCTCTGGCACTGGCAGCCATTCCCTGGCTCCTGTCCCTGCAGGCCTTGTCCCCAGTCCCTGTTCAGCTGTCCTGGAGCCCCTGCAGGGCCCATTCCCCCCGGAGCATTCCATGGGTGCATCCTCAGCCCGGGCTGTGCTGTCCCTGGGGCTCAGTCCCTGCCAGGCTGGGTGAGGAGCAGCTCAGGCCCTGGCAGTGCCCTGGGCAGGGCAGTAGGTGTCTGAGAAAACAGCTCAAAAGCTGAATTTCCTCTTCTCTGCAGCCTCTGCCCTTTGTTTCTCAAACAAAGTCAGAGAAAACAACCTGGAGGGTTCACTGCTATGTCCCTGGCGCAGTTAATCCAACCTGATTTAAAACCAGGTTTGGCTGGGAGGGACCCTAAAGCTCAGCTCGTTCCATGCCATGAGCAGGGAGCCTCCCAGCAGCACAGGCTGCTCCCTTTGCTCTCAGCAGCCAGGCTTTGCTCTTTCTGCAGGGCACAAGCATTTCCTTCTGTGGTTTAGCATTTGATGTCTGAGTTTTGAGCAGACGTCTGATTTCTGCTGAGAATGTCTTCTTGCACAGCCTGAAACATCCTGTTTTCTACTTTCCTGTACCACAGGGGCCTTTTGTCTGTGTTGCTGTCACTGGGGATTTCAGCTTGCAGAATAATTGCCACAGTAGTTGGTAAAAGTGGCAAAGAAATGGAGACTTAAAATTACATATTTATATTTTTGCTGTCTTGATTTTTTCTGTGTGGGGTCTTCTTAAGCTTCAGTGCATCCATAAGTAGGAGAGACTGTTCCTTCCCAAATATCTACTAATGAAAAGTATTGAATAAAGATAAGTATCTAACAATAGTAAATAACTAACAGTAATAAACATCTAAAATAGTAAACATCTAACAACAGATAAAAATCTAATGGTAAATAAATATCTAACACTAGATAAATAACTAATAACAGTAAATATCTAACATTAGATAAACATCTAACCACAGCAAATAGCTAACAACAGTAAGCACCCTGGGGCAGTGGAAGGTGTCCCTGCCCATGGCAGGGGTGGAATTAAATAATTAAAAAAACCATTCCACATTTCTATGGTTCCATGGGTCTTTAACCCAAATTCTGTGTGAATTTGCGGCACCTCAGTGAAGCCAGCGAAGCTTGCAAGGTTTGCATTCGGGGGGAAGAATCTCTGGTGATTTATACTCCTTAAATCTGAGCTAAAAAAACATCAAATGATTTCTGGGGCTGCTAGAAACTCATAACTGGTCTGGGTTTTTTCCTCAGATGACTCCATTTTAGAGTAACTTTAATCATTGCTGGCAAAGAGCTGCAGGAACTGCACAGTCCTGGCTGGGACAACACATCATTCCCTGGGTGGCACTGCTGGAGTTTGTGAGACTGTGACAGAGACAAGAACTGATAAACATCTGAGTCCCACCAAGAAATACCCTCTCACACATTGAATCCCTGGCAAAAACAAGTTAAGGCTCCAGAGGTTTCCAGGGCTCTCAGACAAATATAAACACAGGAACATGCAAGCAGTGTTGCCCAAAGCAGATCCTGCCTCAGCTGGGATTTCACAGAATCTGGGCTTAAACCCCCAGGGGTTAATCAATATGGATGGCAATTGTTCTCAGTGCACACCCCAGATGAAATAATAATTTATAATTTATATTCCTCCTGCTCCGCGCTGCCTCCTCACTAAGGTGGAGCACAGAAATAGCAAAATGCTACAGTAGTGCTGGTGGAGCTGCTGGATTTATTTTGTTCCCTAAGAGAATGTGGGAAATAAAAAATATGTAGTAAAATTGAAAAAAAAAAAAAAACAACTTTGTAGAAAGTCAAGAAAGAACTTAACCAGACTGGACTGGGAGGAGGATGCTGGAAAATCCCAAGCACCCTGGTTTGGGGGCCATGTGAAGATGGACCTCAGGGGGTTTTATTTATGTTTTCCCTTTTGTAAACTTCTGGGAAGCTGGTGGATTTCCAGTCCTGGGAAGCTTTTCCTCAGGATTTGACAGGCTGACATGGAATGCACATGAACCAGCCCGTGGAGGCTGAATGAAGGGGATGGAATTTCAGAATTTCAGTGTTCCTCTAGCCCTACAAGCATTTCCTTGATCTTACTCACAGGAATAATCTCACTAAAATAAATGAGATTATTAAATGAGTGTGAGAAAAGGAGTTGGAATGGTAGAGAAAGAGTAGAGAAAGGTGCAGAAGGGGTGGAGAACTTTAATTTCCAGTGGGAATTTCAGCCTCCAGAAGCTGCTGGGCCCTGGACATGGTGTGGCACGAGGATTTCTGCCTCTCCTGCTCTCTGGCTGCTCCTGCTCAGTTTGGGGCTGGGTCAGGCTTTGTGCTCCACTGGAGTCTGAGCAGATGGGAAATGAGCTGTGAGCAGGGCCCTGCCAGGATCCCAGAATTCCAGAATCAAGGTGGGAAGAGCCCTTCAGGATGACCCAGCCCCAGCAGCATCACCCCAAAGCCTGTCCCCAAGGCCACATCCAGACTCCTCTGGGACAATCCCAGTGACTCCAAACCTCCCTGGGCAGCTCAGCCCAAGGCCTGACCACTCTGCCAGGGAAATTTTCTTTCCCAGTCTCCAACCTGAGCCACCCCTGGTGCCATTTGAGGCCATTTCCTCTCCTCCTTTCCCTGCCCCTCCTGGCAGGAGCTGTGCAGAGCAGTGAGGTCCCCCCTGAGCCTCCTTTTCTCCAGGCTGAGCATCACAAGCTTTGACTTATCCAACCTGCCCTAAAGGTGGAGTTTAAAAAGTGCTGGATCTTCTCTCCGTGGCATGGGAACCTCCAGCTTGGCATGGAGATGAATTTCTGTCAGCACCACAATGGGAATTCCAGGAAAGGACAGGTGGGAGTGTGGAAAGAGCCCCAGGGATGGGGGCAGAGGGGTTGGTGCTCCTCAGCCTGCTGAGCACACACACCCTGGGCAGGGGCTTCCACCTCCGGGTGTGTCTGACCCTGTCCCCACCCTGGGAAACTTCCCTGCAGGGCAGGGCTGCCATGGGGCATCTCCCCCCTGGCCCTCTTTTCTCTGCAGTGACTCTTTTTTGGATTTTTGGTGGGTTTTTTTTTGTTTTTCTTGGTTTGGTGTGTTTTTTTTGGTTTTTTTTTTTTGTTTTTTTTTGGGGTTTTTTTTGTTTGTTTGTTTGTTTTGTTTTGTTTTGGGGTTTTTTGTTTTTTTTTTTTAACTTTGGGGGTTTTGTTGTTGTTGTTGTTGGGTTTTTTGTTTGTTTTTTTTTTGTTTTGTTGGTTGTTTTGATTTTTTTCCCTTGCAGGTCATTAACCCTTTATTCCCCCCCAAATCTGAGGTCTTTGCCACCCTTTTAAGCCTTGTAGCCCCCCATGCTTGTAGAGAGCAGCAAAACCCCCATGGTGGTTTCCCCTTCCCCCTGTGTGGGTTTTTTGGCTGGAGGGAGCATTTTGGCCACAGCAGGACCCAGACTGCTCTGGCCTTGGCACTCAGTGGCTGCAGGGATCCAGAGAGTGAGCTGGGAGTTTCACCTTTCTCTTTTTTTAGCACAACAGGGTGAATACTGACAGGCCCTGAGTGGGAAATCATAGTTCAGCCTCATCCCTACTCCTTATTTTGAGGAAATACTGCAGACTTTTGCCAGGAGATGGCAACTGGAAACGCTCATTGTAAAACTCCTCCTTTAATTTCACAATCTGAACCACCTCCTAATAAAAGGATTTATTGTAGTGGGGACGTGTTGTTAATTATCGTTAGACCCCTGCTTTTGATTAATGCTGCTAATTAGTTTCTGCCCTTGACTTTTTCCAATTAAGGAGTGGATGCCTGGGTGCTGAACACGTGGGCAGATTCTCTAATTAGGGAGAGGAACGTGGCTTCTCCTTGTAGGTAAAGATTGGAACTTTCAGGAGCTGCTCTGGGGCTCCAGGTGGGGGGCTGGGAGCCTTTTGCTGCTAAAATTTGTGAGAAATACATTTGTGGAGAGGTTTTGGGGTTTAACAGAAGGTTCACACAGTAGGTGTTCATGTATAAATTCTGAGATAAGGAATGTTGATTTAGAAATGCCGTGGGATAGGATGGATG